CGGCTAACAAAGCTGTCAACCCACACGGCTTACCCCGTATTCTTGTACAGGGAAATTGAGTTTTCAGATCCATACGACGTACTGCCGTTTCAATACGGGCCCACAACAACAACAACAACCAAAATGTGTATTTGTTTGTGTTTTTCTCCCTTGTGATGTGACTTTGTAGGACGAACGTTGAGATGTATAAATGACACGGGGTGACCGATAAGGTTTGAATTGTTCTGTAGTAAGATAGGGGCACTGATGAGGGATTCACGGTGATGGGCTATAATCAGTGGCGAGTGATATTGAGAGGATTTAGTAAAGAGTAGCAGCTCCTACTGGGCCCTCTTCTCCTCCCTGACTAACGTGAAGGTAAAAAACAACCCCACGGCCGAAACGGCGTGGGCCTTCAACCAGCAGTGGACCGTGCAATAATAACAACAATTACTGTCATTGTCACAACAATGCACAAACACTACATTCTTACACGGCCCGACTCTGCCTGCCGTATGCATGAAGACCATCAATGATGTACTTACACACACACACGCGCGTTAACCACCGCGAACGCATTAAAGCGCAGGTCACGGTTTTAATCAGCAAAATAACTCAAGCGAAACAACCCGCCCTTCATAAAAAGACCATAAATGATGTACTTACACACGAACACCCTTAAACACAGAAGGAGAAATAATAAAAATTCACTTACACGTAGCGGCCGTGCTTGCCTGGATTCCCCGCCGCAGCCCGGCGCTGGGCCCCTCGCCAAGGAGCTGCGGTGCGGGGGGGGGGGTCGTCACCCTTCAGCTACACCGCTGGTAACAAAACCAACCATGCAAACTTCTACCGCGTTTGTCATTTACAACAACGACAACAACGACAACACATTAAGACAAAAAGGAAAAACATCCGTCGGTGGGAAGCTACGGCGTTCCTTATGTACGGGGGTCATGTAACAAGCGGCCGGTCAATGTGTGCGAGCGACTCCTACTGATGATGGTGGTGGTGGTGCCAGGGGGCTGTCACCCACCACGGCCACCCCAAAACCGTGTGGTCCCAACTCTCATTCACCGATATTACCTCGCTACCTGTGCCTCAACTTGTTCCGACGCCTCTTACTCCCACTTGTATTATTAGATTATTGACTATTATTTTTTTATTTGATCAGCTAAGGCCCCATTGAGGTGTGTAGCTATTTTTTTTTAGGAGCGACTTGGCCATAAATGATATCTCAATGAGGTGGCTTATCATGTGGACATTTATAGCGACCAAATGTTCTAAACGCGCGTTTCTAAACGTGGAGGGAAACTAAATTAAAGTATATATTTTTTTCTACCAGGTAAGGCCAACTGATTTGTGTAGATCTTTTTTAAAAGCGACCTGACGACAATTTATAGCTCAACGAGGTAACTTATAATGTGGACATTTATAGCGGCCAAATGCTCTAAACGCGCGTTTCTAAACGTGGGGGGAAGGACCGTATGACCACGGGGAGAACACGCAAACTCCAAACATACAAGCGTCAGAGGGTCGACATCGAACCCACGACCTCCTGCATACCACGACTAAAACATTAAAGCAAATACTTGCAAATGTACCGAACTCTTTCATGTTACACGTGCACTGTTTTTGACTCGCGCGTCTTTCGTTTACGACCGTTAAATGCCTCGTTTGTTAATTGTGCAATATTCCTGAAGGACTCTGTACTCGACCCCAGCAATGTGAACTTTTTAAAATTGTTTTATTGTTGCTGCTGTGCTCAGGCAATGCATCGCGGATCTCCTGTGTAAAATAGCAGGGAAGCTAAACAGTATCTATCATCCGTGTAACAAATTAAATAATTTTAATTACAAAGATAAGCGATTCATCCATTGCATTGCGATAAAAACTGTTATCAATAAATAACAATTATTCGTAAACATTTTAAAGTTAAAATGGTTTATTATCATCATCATTAAAAATGCCTCCAGATAGGATAGTTTCGCGAACTATGACCCCCAAATCGAACAGAGGGGAGGGTCCTTGTCTATAACTATTTGCCCTAGTAAACGTGCCAACGTTGTTGGGCCAATTGTTGGACCCAACGTTGACTCAACGTTCCATGTTTACTGGGTGGCAGTTAACCGTCATGGATTTAAGCAAGCCTGACTCTCGCTGGTGAGACAGTGAATGTTGAAATCTGTCCCAGAGGTTTGCTTTTGTTGAACTCATGCGGCTGAAAATTATACACTTCCGGAACCCAAATGTAAAAAGTGTTTGTTTCCTTGCACGCAATTTATAAAATGAGCTGGTTAGTCCAAATTATTTGATATTGCTGCTGCTGCATTGGCAGTGGAGTACAAGCGTAAATCACATAACACTTTAAACACGTTCGTCAATAACACTGCCTTGAAAAAAAGGCAACGTTACGGGCAATGGCCCTTGGTTTTATGAAGAAAGGCCATTGCACGAAACGTCGCATATTGCATATATTATTTCCCTTTTACATCAGTATTATTGACGAATGTGATGCGTTGTTGGTTAGTCCACCAGCCTATGAAAAAGCTTTCCGCGCAAATGTTTTCCAGCTGCATTTGTCTGAGCAGCAGCGGGGATGTTGGTCCATTGGGGGCTCAATGCAGACATTCATTTTTAGGGGGGCACCCCCATCGCAATGTATAAAGTCCGAGTGAGCTAACAGAAGATATATCCAAAAGAGGTTTTTGGGTTATATCGTGTAAATATAAGTGTGTCATTAAACCCACCACCACCCGAAACAGCCAATTAGTAAGGGTTTTCACGTAAATAATAAAACATGCCAATTCGTTACTAGTTCAGCAACCGGTGTATTGGAGAGTAAACTCACAACATTTACAATTTGAGTACGACGTTTCGCCGGTAATTACAACCAGCATCATCAGACAACAGCCAGAGTTGTGGGGAAAGCCTCCTGTTTCGATCTTAGAATCGATATGACAAGAAACAGAGATGTAGTAAGATATGAGTATTGTGGACAAACATCGAGATGTAGTGAGACGAGAGATGCAGAGGAAAGAGATCAGAGAATAATTCACTTTTTAAACTTAATGATGCTCATGTTTATTCGGAGGTGATTTTGAACTGATGTTTTGCTTGGCATGCTTCTAGATTTGAAGTTTTCGTGACTGCAAGGATCCATACTCTTTGGTTCGTTCGATAAAGTCACGTAGGTGAATTTTTTTAAAGAACCTCCTGGTTGCACCAGCCCACAGGGGATTATTGTGTCCGTCCGTCGCGCAGGAATGTGTTCCCGGGCCATGGCTAACATCAATGGCGCTTCATATCTGAACCGATCCTTGGCGCTGCCTTCTCTAAACCCACACTGACCAATGTTGAAAGTACCATCCAGTACGTGTATAGTCAAATAAACAACACGAGTCACACAGCATTGGAGGGCCTTTATCCATCAGTGGGTTGACAAAGGGCTGTGAATTATGAATGTTATGTAATGGAGTATAAGCTGAAGTTTGAGTGTAGCACACTTCCTGGTCAATTGCACTATTTCTAAGGTACCTTTTGGGATGAAATTAGATTTAAGGGGTAATTATGGGATTACTCTATTTAAAAAAGTTGTGCTAACATTTTTAAAGTAGCTATTTTACATTATTGTAAAAATGTCCTTATGTATATATTGCACATTTTAAATGAATGGGTGGTTCATATTGGCTGTCAGGTCATTGATATCTTGGGGTTCATTCCCTGAAGATGTGTGTCTTTCCCAGGAGGATCATGAGAGTTGACAAGGCCCGGAGCCAGCTTGACTCAAGTCATGGGTTTAACTCAGGGAATGGGTGTGAGTGTATGTCAGGAGGCTGTGTTGTTTCAAGACATGAAACCAGCGCATTCGAATCACGCGTTTAAGCCGTCTGTCTATTTTAAGTGGCTTTAAATGACTATGATCAAATAACCGAGAATGTACCAGAACTTCAAGCCAAGAATGGTTAATCCTGGATTATAATTGGATGGGCGACCACACATCAGGTTGTCTTAGGCGGCTGTATGGCAGTGCATCACATCCGAGTCCAAGGGATTTAGTGCAAGGCTGTTGACTTTAGGAGTACCAAAATAACATGTTCATATTCTTTGGGTCTTTCGGTATGTCGTGTACTGAACATATTCAGTTCACGACATAACTCTGCTAGCACAACTTGGATACAAGCTGCGATTGTCAAATTGAAATGCCATGTGACCTCACATTGCATAGTAATTATTTAAAACACTATTACAGGCTTAAGCCATTTTACATGCCACACACATACACAATGGGAATGTAACTGTATTGTTAAGAGTTTAAGAAAGCATACGCACAACATAGTGTACAATACATTTATTTAGCAAAAATATAAACGTGCGTACATTTGCAAAATCTTCACATGTGAAAGAAAAATGAGTGGCAAGAACATGCGACGGTCAAAACACAAGTTATTGTTCAACAGGTACGTAACAGCAACCATGCATAAATAACAAAGCATAAATACACTGGGTGTAGTTTTGCGGCGCACGCATGGAATGCATGGGATTGGAGATGGGGTTGGTCGATCATGTAATGACGAGCCACCCACATGTTGGGTCAGTGATTCCTTGTAGAAGGCAGGACTGCAACGAGGTTCCAGCTGGCATCTGTGTGCAGGATTTATTTGTACCGAGATCTTGTGGTATTGTGTTGAACTTCATGACAGTACACTACACAATTTTAACAGAAGTAGGCTGACTGAGATATTTGTCCGGGTTTGTTCTGTGGAAAAAGTGGCACCTTACCGTGCAGTGACATTTGAGTGTTCTCCAATCACACACATTGTTTTTTTTATCCAAAGTAACTACCCAGTGGAGTGTGCAAATTAAGGGCAGTTCAGGTGTCGTAATGCCAGATTCGGTATTGATATACCAGACTGAACGTCTAATGCAGAATTCAGGAGTGAACTGTACCTATAGGTGCTTGCTTATAGCATGTTCATTAACATTTCACGAAGCGAGACAATAAATGTTTGTCTTTTGTAAAAAAAAAAAGTGTCTGGGTGGGTACATGTTTAGACAGTGGAGTCTCCTTTAAAGGCCTTGGAATACGAGGTTAATTAATTGTCTTGAAGCACGATTCTCAAACACAGCAATGACGCAAAAGAGCGAGGCGTGCACCACAGATAAATTAGTCGCAGAAGGGAGACACTAGACTGCGCACACAGCAGACAAGGGAGTGCAGCTGTACGCACAGCAGACAGCGGGTTATGCTTGTGTGGGGGAGAAGGGGCTTAGCGGTTAGCATGCTGCGCTACGAATCCGGCGACCTGCGCCCGATTCCCACTCAACACTGGTGATGATTATCTGAACCGGTCCTGGGCCTCCCCTAAGTCGACTGAGCCTCAAATAATGAGTACCTGGTGCGGTGTTATAAATATCACCATTGGGAAGACAAAAGCGGCCAGGCGTGGTGATTACCACCAACCCCATGTGTACCGTGCCGGCCTCCAGAGGTGTTAGCGAACAGCACTTGCCCTAAAAGTCTGTTAAAGGGGGATCTTTGGAGTGGAGAGAGGTGCAATTGTGGTTTGTGCAATGCACTCAAATCTCACTGATCTAGGTTTAATTCCTGGCAAGAGCAGCATGTTGAAAATGGTTTCTGAACCTGGCTTGTCTCCTCTAGATAAAATCAGACTAAAATCAGTAAATCATGCAATGGAGATATGGCTATTAACATGAACGCAGGAGACGCAAAGACCACCATTTAGTTTGCAATGCTATCCCTAATAGGTGCTTGCTGACATTGGTATAGGCACTTACTCCGAAAGCTTAAACCTAAACTGTACGATGATTGTCTTTGCATGTGATTGTGTGGATTCTGTGGGTGAGAGTTTGTGCATGTGTGTAGGAACTGGTCCCGGGCCTTCCCAAGGTAAATTCAGCCCTAAATGAGTACTTGGTGTGGTGTATAAACAACAGCACTGGCAAGTCTTCTTGGTTCTTTCGGTAAAGTCACGTAGAAGGGAAATGATAAAAATAATAAAAATAAAATATAATAAAATACAATTCTCACGACGTTTCGGCCACAACACAAGCAGCCGTCCTCAGGTGAAGAAACAGAGCTGTCGGAAAGACAGCGTCCCAATGAACACCGCCAAGCTTGGCAGCGTATATTTAAGCTGGGCCGGGGGGAGGAGAGCACTGGCAAGATAAAGGTAAATGGGTGTGGTGCTGATCACACCACCCCATCGTGCCCTGTGTCGGCCTTATTAGGTGCTTTATAAAACCACTTGCCCAAAGATCAAATGCCCCACCTGCTCTCTCCACTGACACAATGAAGAGCACAGGTGGTGCATCTGCCAGTAATCTCAATTAGTTAACCCATAATACCTGGATTATCCCCATGACCCCCTGTCAGCTAGCCTTCCACACTTCACGTGACCACATATTGCACCTAACCAGGCGCAAACGCCTTGGTGACATCACCACCACTTAGTGGTGAAAGACAATTGTGTGAGTATGTGTGTGCTGGCGTGTGAGTGAGTGTGTGTGTGTCAGTGGTGGGGAGCGATAGTGTAGCGGTTAGCGCGCTGCGCTATGAACCCGGCGACACGGGTTCGATTCCCGCGCACTGCCAACATCAGTGACAATTATCTGAACCGGTCCCGGGCCTCCCCTAGGTCGACTCAGCCTCAAATGAGTACCTAGTGCAGTGTGTAAACATTGCCACTAGGGAGACAAAGGCGGTCGGGCGTGGTGCTAGCCACCCACCCCCTCGTGTACTGTTCTGGCCTTCATAGGTGCTCGCTAACAGCACTTGCCCCTACAGTCTGTTAAGGCTATACAGGGGATCTTTGTCTTTGTGTGTCAGTGAGACGGAGTGTGCCTGCGTGCCACGTGTTAGTGTATTCTAGGCTCCGCGAGAAGAAGCTTCCTCAATCGTTCCCCTTCCTCTTCCAGAAGCTGAACCCTGTGCACAAGGCAATTGAAACACACACACATGTAAACAACACAATTACCCGGCAACAACTTGAATATAAACATTAGCAAATGTCTGGATTTGTGAGTGTATACCTTTGTGGTGTGTGAGTGAGCAGATTAATGCTTGAATGTTTGTGGGAGTAACTGTAAAGCTTTTAAATGGTGGATACATTTTCATTTGTATAGGTAGGTGTATGTGGATATGGTCCTGTTAGAGTGGCACAAGCGTCGTGGTGACGTCACTGCCACTTAGTGGCGAATGGCGGTTGTTGTTGTTAGGGTGTATGTGTGTGTATGATTGTCTTTCGTGCTCACAAACAGCACTTGCCCGAACAGTATGTTAAGTATATACACGGGGGATCTTTGTGTATGAGTGTCTGGTGAATGATTGTGTGTAAGTGTATGAATGAATTTGTGTGTAGATATGAGGTGGTGTATGGGTGTGTATGTAAGTGGGGAATGATAGTGTAGTGGTTAATGCACTGTATTACGAACCCGGCGACCTGCGTTTGATTCCCGATCACGTCCCACACCAGTGACTATTATCTGAACTGGTCCTGGGCCTCCCCTAGGTCGACTCAGCCTCAACTGAGTACCTGGTGCGGTGTGTAAAATATCAGCACTGGGGAGACAATGGCAGCTGGGCGTGGTGCTGGCCACCCACCCCCTCGTGTGCCGTGTCGGCTTTCACAGGTGCTCGCTATGAAAGCTAAGAGTAGAGGTGTGTGTATCGGTGTGTTGTGCCGTTGCCTGTGCTGCGCGTGCTGGGTGAGCCTCGTCTGCTCGCGCAAGGAGAACTTTAGGTCGGCGACTTCTTGGGTGAGGTCACGTACGGACGCCAAAGACACGTGGAGCTCCTGCACCACTCGCTCCCTCCACGCGCGTTCCTATACAAAGACAAATATCCCCTTTATACCCTTAACAGACTGTTGGACAAGTGCTGTTAGCGAGCACCTATGAAGGCCGGCACAGCACACGAGGGCGTGTGTGGCCAGCACACTCCCATAAACACACACACAAAGATGCCTCGTGCAGCCTACATCGACAGGCCAAGTGTTGTTAGCGAGCACCTATGAAGGCCGACATGGTACACGACTGTGTCATGTAGCCAGTGCCACTCCCCACCTTGTTTGTGTCCCCAGTGCTGATGTTTACACACCGCACCATTGAATTCATTTTAGGCTGAGTCACCCTCAGGGCCCTGGACCGATTCGTATATTCGCCACTGATGTTGGAAGTGTTTGGGATATTTGATGTGGTTGAAGGGTTCGTAGCGTAGTGCATTAACCACTTGCAGGACAAGTGATGTCAGTTCGCCAATAGAAATGCTGATCCAATACACAAAAGGGTGGGGTGTGGCCAGAACCACGCATGTCCAGCTCTTTTTCCCCACCCTTGTACAGATGTCCAAAGTGAACTCGGGGAGAGGGCTGCATCAAGTTCAAATACCACTTGTCACTGACGGACTTCATGGTTGAGAACTGAAACGCAGGTCATCGGGAATGTGGTGCAGCACACAGACCATGGTAGACACACACACACACACATATAGAGCATTATATGTGCACTCAACACAAGGAATTCCCTTTCAGCCTATATATGATTATGGTACTGGTGCTGTTAGCAAGCACCTCGTAAAGGTGGTGCAGCAATACAAGAATACAGATCACCCCACTGAAGTGCGGTGCGCTAATCACTGCAACGCCACTCCCAAAACACGCATACGGCACACACCGAACATAATCTCCGTGTAATGTAACTGTGGCATCTGTGCCTTCTTACGTTCTTGGCACGATAAACCCATCGAATTGTCTGTAAAAATATATGATTTATAAGTTGAACATGCTGAAATTAGATCAGGGTAAGCCCTGCATTCAACAGAGATTCTACATTCGTCACCACGGCAGAAAAGATTTTAAATTTTGAATTGAACCTCAAACCCCCAAAGTGTGACATTTAATTGAACCGTTATGTGCCTATTAGGTTCACTCTGAGACAATGCAGAGTCTCGCTAACAGAAGGTCCGGGGGTAAACAGACCCAAGCAAATTTCTCTGGAGAGGTGAAGTCTCGCTGACCTTGCTGGCTGAGCTCTGCGCCAGCTTCAGGTCATGCGAGATGGTGGCCACAGCCTTATCCCGCGCTGACAGCTCTCCCAGGAAGGCGTCCCGGGCGCAGCGCAGGCGGGTGTGCCAGCAAACACGGCCAGCGTTGTATCGCCTTTGGGGGGGGGGGTGGGGGTAAGGGAAATATGGGGCAGACAAGAAGCGGGGCCTCTCTGCACGAGTTCATTAAGTTACTCCAAAGCTGGGTGACTCAGAGGTGAGAGCACTTAGCTGGCACAGCAGAGATCCTGGGTTCGAATTTGCACAACCACCTATGGTTATAGTAGGTTCTCATGTACAGTTTCTTGATGGTCTCAGCCCTGCCACCATTTATGCAATGTATGCTAAACTTATTTCGCATTGTAGGTAGCCAACTGTGTTCATCGGAGGTGCGGGGGAAGGAAAATGACTGCACAAAACAAATCATTTTAAATGTTGGTTCTGCACTTAATTTGGACAAATTTCAGCTGGAGGCATAAATATTGGTTTGAATGTCATGTCAGAAATACTTATTGCAGTGACAGAGCAAGTGGGAAAGTGTGGCTCCTTACTGTGGAAAATAGAGTTCACTTCAGAGGAATTGAGAGGTAGCTCTGTAATATGTTTCTGTGGATCGTTCTCTAACAAATAAATGTGTTGTCTCATGACAAGACACCGAAAGCATAACCTGGATTAAATTGGAGAAATGTCGAAAAAGAAATAATAATGTATGTGAGAGGAGAGAATGATATTGAGAGAGAAAGAGATTGGAGAGAGATGGCCAGTGGGAGAGAGGGAAGGGGGAGGAGTGAGAGTGTAATAGTCCAGGATAAGGGGGCAAAGAGAGAGGGCGAGAGAGAGGAGGGGAGTGCAGGGCATGCATGGAAGAGGATGAAGTGAGAGTGAGCTGGTAAAAGAGAGACAGAATGTGAATATCAGCTGGTGAGGGTATTCGCAGGACAGAAACATCTAATGTAGACAGAGAGAGATTGAGGGAAGACAGAAAAGACAGGAAGATGCATGAGGGAAGGTGATGTAAGGAAAGGGAGAGAGTGACAGAGTAAAAAAAAACCGGCAGATCGTGAGCACGCAAGCGACCCAGCGAGGAAGGACTAGAACCTGACAGAAACAAACTCGAAAATATCCACACGAAATGGGACTGTGGGTCGTTTGGATTTTAGAACAGTTCAGATCCTGCTATTACTCCCTCTGCTGGCCACTCAAGTAAAGTCAATTACAATGCAGATTTACAAACATTTCGGATTTCCGACATTAGGGCTATTGACGGTCTGCAGCATATCACAAAACGCACCTCATGTATTTGTCTGTTCTCTGTAGGGCTCGCTCCAACTCCATGCGTAAACCAGCCTCCTGGCCCTGAACGCGTACACGCACGTTAAACGCATTCAAGGAGCATACACAGTCTTGTAGATCGCCAGTAGCAAGCAGCAATTAAATCCGATGAACAACCAAAAGAAAAGAGCAAGTGCCAAAAATGAGTTGACTTAGAAGAAGAGTATCTAGACTAGAGACAATACGAACTAAAGCAATAAGATAATGACAGAGTGGATCCAAACGAGACAACTCCAGTGGTTTTGATACATGTCTATAATGGATCCGGAATGGATACCACACGTGGCGTTCCACACTGAAGCACACAGAACAAGAAATAGAAGAGATGCGGCGAGTTGACGGGGTGAAAAATAAATCCCCACTACCTGAACGGTACGTGGGGAGGCCCTCACCCAGCAGTGGAGTGGCAAGGGGCTGTACGTGTACATGTGCACACGTGAATTCTATACACGTGGACAGATGTAATAATAAGTTGCAGCAGACACACACCTGGGAGAGAAGCTGATCAGGTGCGTCTTGCAGTTTTGATTGGTCAGGTGGGCTGTCTCGATTTGGTTTCTGCTGCACAGCTGATCTGTCCTCCCGTTCCACAAGACGAAGCCTTAGCTCCTTCAGCTCCTCCTCCTGATTCCTGACCCTCTCCTTCAGCATCTGGCATGCACACGCATGCACACACGCAAACACATATAACTAGACATGCAATAACAACTTCAGCATCCGTCATTCACCACCTAATGGAGCCTCAGTGGAAGGTGCACTGACATGAGGTCATGGGTAAACCGAGCCAGTTCCTGTGAGTGAAGAGATGAAAGATCCAGAATGGGGTATCATAGATGAGACTGCACTGCAATACCTTAGCATGCTGGAGTGACCAGTAATTGTGCGAACTAAACAAAAACATTTTCAATTTGCTTTGCTTAATCTACCGTGGTGTAATGGTTTAGCACACTGGACTTGGAATCTGAAACTCGCTAAGTCGATCTCCTAGTGAGGCAAGTTTCTTAAATCCCACTGCCTCTATCCACACAAAAATATAGATGGGTACACCAGTTAGTTGGTTGGCAGGTCACATGTGGTGTAAAGTGTAGATACTCCCACTTCTTCCAAGATGTACAGCTATTGTAGAAGAGTCAGCCGCAATAAGCTCTAGAGGTGCTCTCCCGAGCGCCCTCTAGAGGAAATCATTCCACCAATAGTGGCGTGAGCAAGAAATTGCAGGGCTGCACCTTTACCTATCTCCTCAATACACCAGAGGCCCCGTAGAACCTAACATGAGCCTCCTCCATATAGGCTGTCTCATGCACCGCTAGACCAACTAGCAACAAGTCCGCTCAACCCCAGATCCTACCCTTTGTAAAATTGTAATTTTCATAACCTGCTCTTTGTTCACAAATGAGCCAGTGCGGTGCGAAATAAGTTCAACATACATTCATGGTAACAATGGTCTTATGTCAGGAAATGTAACATATTTCACGGAACAATGGCTGCATATAATTATATTTATCTACTCCTAAGCCAGTCATTTAAATAGCACATTGTTAATTGAGACCACTTAATGTGTTCGTCTTTTGGCTGTGCATGTCTGATAACCAGTATCTGTTAATGGAAAACTGCCCATGTAAATTCAACACTGTTCACATATCTACTTTCTTCAATGTTTGTTTTCAAGCACCACAATATAATGTAAAATCTGCAACTATAATAAGCCAAATGATTACTAATCTACAACTCGCATCGTAACAATAGCCTGATTACTAATCTAGTATATAATTACAATAACCCCCCCTCAAATCTTTGCACCTGATGAGTTAATGAGTTAATGATGACGTCACCCTGCTGCTGATCTATATAAGAACGGGAGAGACAGCAGAGCCTCACCATTCTGGCGAATTGCCCGATGATGCTGGATGCAATTACCAGCGAAACGTCGTACTCAAATTGTAAATGTTGTGGTTTCACGCTTCAACACACCGGTGGGCTAAAGCAGTGAACTAATTGTCCTTTGTCAACGTGACACTTGTTTACTGATTGGCCGTGTCGGGTGGTGGAGGGTTACGACACATTTATAAATAACGCGATCTAAACCCAAAAACGTTGATTATGTATGTATAATAAGTCAGTCAATCACTTCAATTGCTTTACCCTCTCTCTACCCTGATACAGGCCAATCTGTGAAACTTTAGTCTATGATACACGTTTATACTGGTAGGAACCTCCTGGTTACACCAGCCCACAGGGGATTATTGTGTCCGTCCGTTGTGCAGGGAGGGGCTGGGTGGGGAGGGAGGGCAGGGTGGGGAGGGGCTGGGTGGGGAGGGTGAGGCTGGGTGGGGAGGGGAGGGTGGGGTGGGTGGGGAGGGGCTGGGTGGGGAGGGTGGGGAGGGGCTGGGTGGGGAGGGGTGGGCCTGAGAGGGGTGGGGCTGGGTGGGGAGGGGCTGGTCATCCCGTGGTGCCTTTATAAAACTCAAAGTTTAACCTACTCACGCCGGCTTGTGCCTGCCCTCACAGTCGGGCATATTTGCGGAATACACCACGCCGCCGTTGACCCTGACCATTGACGGAGCAACCCAACGTTCCTACCAGCTCCCTCCGCAGGAATGTGTTATATAGTAGTGTTTATGACAAATGTGGAAAGCTTTGATCAGTGCAGTTCCTTATCGTTTAAATTCATCATCGTAACCATGGCTCCACTACGAGTTAACACAGGGAACTTCATGGCCTCCTGCTGTCGACTCCCTGCCCCTGTTCAGGTCCAAGACATTCCTTTTTTACCTTTATGACTGACTGCCTCTCTCTATAAAATAAATCTGGCCCATATCAGGGCAGAGATGAGAGAGCAATTAAAGCAATTGACTGACTTATTATATCTTGATTTGAAGCTTTCGTGACTGCAGGAATCCATACTCTTTGGTTCTTTCGGTAAAGTCACGTAGGTATAAAATAAAATAAATCACGACGTTTGGGGCGCAACACAAGCATCCGTCATCAGGTGGGAAAGCATGGCGGACGCTTGTGTTGCGCCAGAAACGTCGTCATTTATTTTATTTTATACCTACGTGACTTTACCGAAAGAACCAAAGAGTATGACTTATTATAATTGGAGATTTTGTTTCTGTGCGGCGTGCTGTGTACATAAACAGTGGGCATATTGACTTCATATAGGCGCCACGGTGGCGAGATGTTATCTACCTCGCCTGGTATACAGGAGGTCGTGGATTCGATCCCGACCCTGACGCCTGTATATCTGGAGTTTCATGTCCTCCCCATGGTTGCGTGGATTTTTCTCAGGGTCCTCCGCTTTTTCCCTCCACATTTAGAAACATGCGTTTAGAGTATTTTGTTGCTATACATTTCCACATGATAAGACATTTCATTGAGCTGTCATTTGTGGCCAGGTGATTTTTTTAAAAATATATAACTCAGTGGGCCTTATCTTGTCAAAAAAAATGTTTAACAGTTTAAATAGAGGTGCGATGACATTGAGATGCTCTAATCTCCTTCTAAGGTAAAGGTACCATCATTGCCTGGGCTTGGCTGCTTGGGATATTCTTTCCACACGCACTTTTCCTTTGTGCCTCTTCTCCTGTCGCACTCACTTTACTTATAGTTCATTCCACCATTGGAACCTCCTTTGCCAGTAGCAAAATATGATAATAGTTGGTTTACCCATTTATCTGGCAACAAAACTGATATCTTTTTTACAAGCAGTCATGTTTGCATTGACCACAATACCTGCAAACAAAAAAACACAACTCTGATAATGTATGACCGCAGGTATTGTGGTCAATGCAAACATGACTCCTTGTAAAAAGGTGTCAGTTTTGTTGCCAGATAAAAGGGTAAAAAACCAATTATCATATTTTGCTACTGGCAAAGGAGGTTCCAATGGTGTAAATGCTTACCCCGAGCTCTCATACTCTGATGGTGCATTGTCTTTGAGTTGTGCGCCTTTTGGCGTCATCTGGTCCAACACCATGTGAGACTAGGCTCTAAGGAAAGCTGTCTCGGGTGTGGACCAATGAATTTCAAGGACAGTGCATACATTATCAGAGTCGTGTTTTTTTTGTTTGCATTCCGACCGCAGGTATTGTGGTCAATGCAAACATGACTCCTTGTAAAAAAGGTGTCAGTTTTGTTGCCAGATAAAAGGGTAAAAAAACTATTATCATATAGTTCATTCGTCGTTTAAAGCAAATAGAACATGGAAGGTGAATGATGTAGATATGATTTGAGGTTGCGCATAGTAGGACGTGTGTGCAGCATGAGGGAGGGCCAATTACAGAAACAGGAAATGGAATAGTCCTGACAAGTTTGGCAATCCAAGAGGAAAAATTCAGACCAAATGGGGGGGGTCCCTGTTATGGCAGAGGTTGGAAGTGTTGGAGGTCAGATGCATGGTGGAGGGTAGAAAGCGTTGGCGAGGCATGGTAGCATCAGCGACTTTAGCCGTGACGATATCTTGATCTTTATCTCTGCAAGGGCCTCGCTCGGTCCGGATGGAGTGTGCGTTACCGTGCGACGCGCGTGTCCCTGCTGCAGCTCCGCCTGCAGCTGCAGCTGCTGGTGGTGCCACTGCAGCGTGTGCTCCTGCAGCTCCAAGCGCAGCTTACTCAGCTCCTTCTCCAGGGCAGACACCTTCAACGGGACAGCAGTGGGAATACAACATGAGGCACGACTACACCAACGATAGGACAATACTCACGATGGCAGTAACGATACAGCAAAACGTACTACAGCCAGACTCATTTTGGGCAGAGCTTCGACAGTTATAGGGGATGTCCGTAAAACTGAAAATAAGTAAAATACACATTTTAATTATAGTTTCATCCGAGTCACTTACCCACTGCCATGTGCAGACGTTGACCATGGAAATATGTGGAAGACTGCACAGATATCCTGATGGCCTTCAATAATTACATATAATCTTGCATATTTATAAGATAAAAATAGAATAAATGTAAAAAAAATAGAGTGTGTCGGATGAGCATGGTGCCAAAAAGCAAGGTTTGCACAATTACATACAACAAATACACATTTTAATTATAGTTTCATCCGAGTCACTTACCCACTGCCATGTGCAGACGTTGACCATGGAAATATGTGGAAGACTGCACAGATATCCTGATGGCCTTCAATAATTACATATAATCTTGCATATGTATAAGATAAAAATAGAATAAATGTAAAAAAAAATAGAGTGTGTCGGATGAGCATGGTGCCAAAAAGCAAGGTTTGCACAATTACATACAACAAATAAGTACAACGCATAGCTTTAGAATTGCTATTGCACATACGCACATTATCTCCTACTATGAGCAATGTAATTAGCGTGTAAACAGTGTTCTGAGTGAAGTTATTACTTATTTATTTTGTATGTTATTTTATTTATAGTTATTTAGTTATTATACGTAACCTAGCTTTTACAGGCTTACTCCAAATTCTGATCAACTTGAATCTGGTTTCGAGAGGTTTTACCGTATAACAAATTCACGATCACGTGACTTTCCAATTCAACAATGCAACCTCTATCGGTCACAACGCACTAAAGCGATGATCACAGTGACAACAAAACCATTATTATACAACCGATGTTACACTTGCATTGAAAAGCCTTAAAAACCCTGTCAAACCACAAACGCAAACACAAAACTATTAAAATAACCACAACTGCTGGTCCATTAGCGACACGGATGAAGTGTAAAGTGTCAACAACATAATTGGGTTCGCTATATAGCTCATCATGCAGGTTCTCCAGCTCTGAGGAGCGGTGGCGCAGCGGTTAGCACGCTGCCCTACAAATCCAGTGACCCGAATTCCATTCCCGTTCACAACCACCAACACCACTGACAATTCGCTATACCAGTCCTGGGCCTCCTTTAAGTCGACTAAGCCTCAAATGAGTACTTGATGCCGTGTGTAAACATCGCCACTGGGGAGACAAAGGTAGTCGGATGTGTTGCTGGCCACCCACCTTCTTGTGCATCAAGGGCCTGGAGTAAAGGAGGTAAGTGTATCGGCATTTTCTGTTGTTGTGTGTGTGTATCGGTGTGTCAGTTGACCCGTGGCACCTGGGTCTGCCCCGTGACCTCCTGCCAGCGGGCGTTCGACACTACACGTGGCCTCAAGGTGCACATAGCCTGGCACAAGCGTCGTGGTGACGTCACCGCCCCTTAGTGGCGGTTGTTGTTGTTGCCTGTGCTGCACGTGCTGGGTGAGGGTCGTCTGTTCAGGGCTATGTGGGGGATCTTTGTCTCATCTTGTGTTCACCTGTGCCACTTGTTCTGCATCTCCAGCGCGCTTGTGCCCTGTGGTGCCATGCATCTCCTCGTGCTGACTCTCGAGCTGGCGCTGTAGGCTCTCCACGCGCCCGTGCTGCCGCTCTGCCTCCTGCTCTCCTCGTAGCAGCCGCTCCTCCCACTGCCGCTCGCACTCCGCCGCCTGCGCCGGTGCCGGCGGTTTCAGTGACACCGGTCAACACGACAATAGCGAACGCGCATGTGCATGTGTCTGTGTGCGTGTGTCTGTATCGTGGTGTGGAGCAGTCGCGCAGTGGTTACTGGACTGTGATACAAACCCGACGACCCGAGTTCAATTCCCACTCACGACCAAATAACAGTGGCAAATATTTTAACCCCAAAAGTCTGTAAAGGCTATACGGGGGATCTTTGCCTTTATTGGTGTATATGTGAGTGTGTCTGTTGGTACATGTATTTCTTTGTGTGTTTATAATTGCATGTATTCATGTGTATGTCTGTGTGTGTATGTGATTGTGTGTGTGCATCTCTAAGTAGCGGGGAACGATAGTGTAGCGGTTTTCACGCTGCGCTACAAACCCGGGGACCCGAGTTCGATTCCTGCTCACGGCCAACACCAGTGATGATTATCTGAACCAGTCCCGGGCCTCTCCTAGGTCGACTCAGCCTCAAATGAGTACCTGGTGCGGTGTGTAAACATTGCCACTCGGGAGAAAAAAGCAGCCAGGCATGGTGTTGGCCACCCACCCCTCATGTGCCGTGCTGGCCTTCATATGCACTCACTAACAGCACTTGCCCCAACAATCTGATAAAGCTATACGGGCGACCTTTGTCTTTTGTATCTCTAAGTCAGATTCGCTCAGCGCTACTGATCTGTCCACTGACGATTGGCTTGTCGTCTGTAAGATGAGCCTGCCCTACATCTATGCTGGAGGTGGGCGTCCACCTTGGACCCCATTCAAACCCATATTAGCTTGATCTCAGTCAGCTGTTTAAAGTTTAAAGCAGGTGAAAATTGTCCCATTATTTTCAGTTAGGTGGCATCTTCCCCACCTCTTGCTGGGCTCACAGAACATGGGTAAGTTTCAGAACTATGGCTCTGCTGTGTACCCAGTTCACATTTCCCTAAATCCCTAGCTGTTCCAGCTGAGAAAAAGCGGTGGGCCCATTCTCACCATCTGAACCCACGGATCACTTGTCAACCCTCAAAAATTGTTCACGGACCACATGGTGTTTTGTGAAAAAATTTGTATCTACCACAGATTTGTGGACCATTTCCCATGGCCTTGTAAACCACCAGTGATCTATGGACCGCTGGTCTACAGTATCCCACAACTAAGGCTGAGGAGGCAGCCTACGCTTGGAGGTTTGGTGAGCCGTTCAGCACTACAAGAATGAGTGGTGGTCGCCGATTGCTGGGATGATCACAAATGAATCTAGAAATGCATTAAAAAAATTGTTTGCATTACCACCCAATTTCCATCCCTAAGGGCAATGATGGTGACTTCAAAGATCATGTTTGCAGAATTGATGGGCATTTCCATGATGTTTTGTAGGAGGGGGAACCCCTCAATCCAAACAGCGTGAGGTACAGTGGGGTTGACTCTGCTAGGGCTCACAGTCCACAAAGGTTGCAGGAACCAAACTGGATTATTTTAAAACAAACTGGGCTACATGAGGAGCTCGGAGATCCTTGCAAGAGCTGGACACGGCCCCATCAGTAAAGTCCTCCAACAGCGATAATTCATTAGCTGGGTCATGTAGCCCGCATGCTCACCCACCACATGATCGAGTGGCTGCTCTTTGGACAGAGAGGGGGATAAAATGGCATGAGCTAGAGAAGCGATGGGGTGGTGTGGTATATGGGACTGGAGAAGAGTGGACTTGCCAATGAATGAAATAGCGGTGTCAAGATTAGCCTCTGTGGGGGTGCTAAATGAAGGATGCTACTGAGTAGACAGAGGCATCTACTTATTCTTTTTAATGACACAGTACAGCAAGCTGGCACAACAGGCACCACGGGGGTACATCTGCTAGTCATCTCAGTCAGTTAACCCGTAGTATCTGAATTTGTCCGGTGAACTACTGCCAGCGAGCCTTTGACAACTACACTTGGCCTCAAAGTGCACCTAGCCTGGCGCTAGAGCTGTGGTGACATCGTCGCCACTCAGTAACACATGGCTGCTGCTGTCGCTGTCGCTCTTGTGGGTGGTGTGAGCGAGCTTGTTTGTGCCCCACCTTGTCCAGGAGCTGCGTGTTCTGCATCTGTAGCTGCCGCACGGTCATGTTGAGCGCGTCCCTCTCACCCTCCACCACCGAGAGGCGCTCGGCCAGCACGGACGGGTGTGTGAGCACACGGTGTGTGCAAGCGCCCAGTAGCTGAGTACGCGCACACACAGAGACAAAGATCACTGTACATAGCCAACCGTGCTAATTGGAGGTGCGTGGGTAGGACAACAAACAAAACACAAAAGGCAGTTCTAAAGAAATGACTTTCAATACAGATTTAAAAGTGCATAGCTCCAGTGGCTTCCAGATTTAAAAGGCCGCAGAAGCGCATCTGAAAGGCTAGTGTTGTTCGCGAGCACCTATGAAGGCCAGCACGGCATACAAGGGGGTGAATGACCTACACCACTCCCAGCCGCCTTTGTCTCCCAAGTACTGATGTTTACGCACCGAAACAGGTACTCATTTAAGGCTGAGTCGACCTAGGAGAGGCCCAGGACTGGTTCAAATATTCGCCAAAGTTATTGGTCACGAGTGAGAATCGAACTCGGATCGCCAGGTTCATAGCGCAGGGAGGTAACCACTGTACTGCCGCACTCATACACATACATGTACGCGTACAAAAACACACAAGCACGTGCACATACACACATTCACAAGTCACACGCGAGACAGACCCAGGCACTGTGGATGCAGGGGTGAAAATCTCACTCAACCCAAACAACTCACCTCCTTCTGCAGCAGCTGCGACTTCTCCTCCACCTCCGTCTCCGCCTCCCTCTCATCTCCCACGTTGACTACCTCCTCCTTTGCCTCTCGTGCCACCACGGGGGCGCCGCCCTCCCTGCGGCTGTCCCCATCTTCCACGGAGCTGTCACTGTCCTCGCTCGTGCTGTTGCTGTCTTCCCCATCGCCATGCCTCTCCCCGTCTCGCTCGCGCGCCTGCAGCTCAGCCAGCAGCGCCTCGACCTCCTCGTTGCGCTCGCCCAGCTCCTCGCGCGACACCTCGGCACTGCGTAGCTTCCGCGCCAGCTCCGCGTTCTGCCGGTGGAGCTCCTCGATCTGCGCGTGACAGCTGCAGGGAGGAGGACGGAAACCCCGTCGACGTGACCAAAACGTGCCAATTAGTTACTACTTCAGCACACCGGTGTGTTGGAGAGTAAACCCACAACATTTACAATTTGAGTAGGACGTTTGGCTGGTGATTACAACCAGCTTCATCAGGCGATTTGCCTGAATTGTGTTCACCAGCCGACACAAACTTTACTAATTGGCTGTGTCAGGTGGTGGTGGGTTAACGACACATTTATATTTACGTGATCTAACCAAAATAACCTTTATTATGAATAATGGTCGTAAAAGCCTTTGTGTTAAAGTGCCATCAGAGCTAACTTTCACCATGACGACACTCACAACACCTTATGCTCAGAGATATATATATATATATATAGTTTTGATTTACTACCTGGAGAAGAATGCTTCCAATACGGGCATGGGGCATGTTGCCTGTTATAATATATGGATCAAAAACATGAAAACTAACAAAGACAGTAAAATTAAATCATGAAAAGTACGTAAAGAAGCATGGAGAGATGCATGCTTGGAATTATACTGAGACAGAAGGAGGAAGACATGAATCAGGGAACAAACACAAATTAGAGACATCATATTAACTGCAACATACGGGCATTGTACGCGACTCCATAAAACAGATACATCTGTGCTCCAGCATTACAACAGCAACAAAAACCCACCTCTACAACGCGTAAATCCTGTCCGTACTGTTGTATGGCTCAGAGATGTGGTCAATGGCAGCTACTCTCTGGGCAGAAAACTGGATGCATTCGACCGGTGGCGTCTGCGATGGATACTCCGCATCCACTTCAGCGAGCGCATCACCAACGCTGAGGTCCATTATCAAAAAGTATCTCCTCTGGCAGTGACGGAAATGGTCAGGGTCAGGAGACTTCACCTCTTCGGACACACGCTGCCCTGGGCGGACACCTCAGCTGATCATACCAAAGCACTGCGTGCGCCATCATCATCAGCCGACCGAGGAACTAGAGCCGACCTCGGGGCAGACCACGGTTGAGGCCGATATCAAACATCATGGGTCTTGGACTGTGCTCAGCTTGGCGGCGTGCTCAGGATAGGGGTTGCCTGGCAGCCAGGACACAGCGCTGTAAGGGATGATGGCCGATGGATGAAACCGATGATGGAATGGCAGCCAAAGAGAGACAGCAAAATCTCCTATTGAGCAAAAGTTGACCAGAAGCAATTGACAGACGAACACAAATACACGGGGCCACCATCTAGATACTTGTGATAACAATGGATCCTGTAGTATTCTAAATGACATGTTATTTGTTACATGTGTAGTGACATAGCGCAGACTGTTGTACAACAGCTGCAACTGCAGGTGGGCACTTAGCGCACACGCCGTTGAGCATATACACAGATGTGCCGGCAGGGCGGAGGAACTGGGGCAAGGGTCACGGTAGACCTCGCGGGGAAGCCCCTGGAACCCTCTGGTGGGTTCGAGAAGGGAGGCGCGGCTAGGGCAGAGCCAAGCCGCGCCGAGGGGAATATAAGCAGCAGAGAGTGAGAGATCCAGGCTGCCGGTTCTGGGAGTGGACTCGTCTCATCGTCGCTGTCGTCATCACCGCCTTCGTCACTGCCGCCTTCCTCACTACCGCCTTCGCCCGATCATTGCGTGGCCGGACAGTAGTTGGCTGTCTCGGTCGACGCCGTCGGTGCAACGTGGACAGGGTCGTGTCTGGGCCGGGTCGTGCGGCAGCGTGGTCGTGAGAGAGAGGGGGCCCGAGTTGGTGGCGTGAACTCAACAACAACCTTGTCTCCAACTGAGTGTGTGCGACGCATGCCACCCGCACGCACACACAAGCCTTGAGCAAGAAGCAAGAAGACACCTACGACACTACACATGTATTGTTTTGATTTAAATACATTACATTAAAACTACAAACACACACTCACCACATGAAGAACGGTCATCTTCTCGATATAGCCCTGAGCCAAAAGTGGGAATTCCACATTCTTCTGGCAGAGCAAACTAAAGTTACAATTTCGAGTTGAGATTTAAGAAAACATTTTTATTTCTTTGGTCTAGTTCTATCTCATTTGTATTGTCTTGTCTCATTTGTAAAGTCTTCTTGACTCCAGTAGCCTAAATTTTAAATTAGTCAAGTTCTTGTAATATTGCTCAATTCAAGCATCGTATCTATTACACCCTCAATAGTGCTGTTTGTTGCCGACTACTTGGCGCTTTTGGCCTTTAGGCCTGTGCTCAGCAACCGTTGTTTGACGTAAAAAAAAACATGGCACATATTTTATTGATCACGAGAGAATGAAGGGCTGAGTCGACCAGGACTTGAACTGTCAAGATTTTGATTTAAATATCACACTTTAACCACAGGACCACCCATTTGGATAAATTAAGAAAACAGGGGCCCACGTGTATCTTTGCAAATGTGAAGAGAGTACAGGGGAGTAGCGGCCACAGGGAGTAATGACATGGGAATTAGCATGGGAAGAGACTAGGGGCCAAAAAAGGGTAATGACAGGTTAATGGACAGACAGGGTGAATGATCTGGGGTCTACGGGAAGGATCGAGAATAGGGATGTGGCCAAGTGACAGAAGAAAGCAGGTGTGGATCAGGGACCGAGAGCCATCGAGAAGGTTCTAGAAAGGGGGCGTGGCCACGGGTAAAGGGGTGGCCACGCATAGATAAAAGGGGTCGAGACGAGAGGCTCGGGGCTGCTGGAGTCGGGGTCTTCGCCTGTCAAGTGTTCGTGACTTCAATAAAGATCACGACAAGAAACGGTCTCCTGGGGTCATTACACATGATACATGCAGGGACTGTTATGCAGTAGCTATTAAGACTGGCATGGCCCACAAAGGGGTGGTGAATTCAGCACAAAGCTTGTCCAGATGCCTTTGTGTTTCCCCATGGTTGATAACCCCAGACCACAATAGGAGCTCACTTAAGTCTGACTTGATTTAGAGAGAGAAGGCCCAGTTCACGCACACGCATGCATAGAAAACACTGACGAGGGGACACCGTTTGTGAGGGTGGCTGCCGTTGCTGCTGCTGTTGCTGTTGAGCATCTCCAGCTCCTGTTCCTGTAGCTGCAGCCTCAGCGTGAGCGCGCTCCTCTCATCCGACAGCAGCTGCCGAGATTTCTGCACGCCCAACAGTGCAGCACACGCACAAGCAGCCATGGGAACGATTCACGGCTGAGTGGCGGTAACGTCACCCCGACACTTACTGCCAAGCTGTGCACTTTGAGGTCACGTGGAGTGACGGAGACTCATTGGCAGATCACTGAAGAGGCCCATGTATTCGCATTTACTTGTACGGCCCCTTTGTCAATTCACTGTTGGATGAGGGCCTCTGCACACATGTGCAAATTATGTGTTTTTCTTTTACCATTCTTCACCATACTGGGAAGTGCAGGTTTGTGGAGGCAAGGAGCATACACATGGAAGCATAGAAACACAGTAAAACAAATAATATTTCTACATTGCCCACAAGGTAGCTCCACAGCCGCATGACGTGTTTTGTGAATGGTCACCCAACCAAGCACTAACCAGGCTCAAACCTACTCGGCTTCGAGATCTGCCAAAATCAGGTGGATTCTGGGTGATTTGATTATGGGCCCATGAGTTCATGGTTGACCTATTGGGGCAACTGGCAGGTGCACCACCCGTGCCAACTCACTGTGTTTTATCTGTCCAATGTTCTGCTCGTTGTTATAAGCATCGCACCTCAATTATTTTGCATTAATTGGAGGAGAGCTGCCATCAACTACCTATTATCATCTTTCACAAGTATCCTACACACACAAGCTAATCGTGAGCTTCTGTTACCAGTACTTGGCAAGTCCACTCAGCTCCAGGTCCTCCTGTACCCACATTAGCCGATTTATTTTCCAGCCCAAGCTCCACTTATATAGCCCCCTCTAGCCAGACAAAACTGGCTTGGCATGCATGCTACATGACCAGCCAATGCAGCCTAGTCTGCCCAGGAAGACCACTAATAGGACTCTAGTTATAGTATCTATGAGCACCTTACACGATCTAACCTACATTAATACTGAATGCATGAATCCATATGTGTTCCTGTAAGGGAGACCATGTTTTGCAACCTTACACATTTTCACTTTGCTGACAGTGACCGTTTATGCTGTGTGTTAGTACCTCTGCCTTGTGGTAGAGGTTTTTGTATTTTTCCACTTTGTCACCGAGCGTCATGATGTCTGAGGTCTGCGGTGGCGTCTTCCAGGAGCAACCCAACACCTCATGCTGGGACTTAAGCTGCAAACAGAGAGGCACACAAACGCAAATATATACACACACACACACAAAGGCAAAACCCCCCGTATAGCCTTTAATAGGCTGTTGTGGTAGGTGCTGTAAGCAGACACGTATTTTGTCTGGAACTGCACACAAGGGAGTGGTTGGCCAGGACCACGCCCGGCCGTCTTTGTCTCCCCAGTGCTGATGATTAATACACACTGCACCAGGTAGTAATTTAAGGCTGAATTGACCTAGGGGAGGCCCAGTACCAGTTCAGATATTCATTACTGATGTTGGCTGTGAGCGGGAATTAAATTTGGCTCACTGGGTTAGTAGCGCAGTGCACTATCCACAACACTATCGCTCTCCACACACACACACAACGACAAAGGTCCCCCATAGAACCTCTTATAGACTGTTGGGGAAAGTTAGCAAGTACCGATTTGGGAGTGGGGTGGTCAACACCATCACCGGCCACCTATATAAAAATACAGACACACACGTGTGCACAACCAAGTATGTATGCGCATAAAGATGTCGACACACATACACATAAAGGCATAAAAATATACACAAAATGATCGACAGAACACACACATGCAAGCACAGACATGCAACTAAAGGTACACACAAGAACACATACACATGCACAAAAAAAGACCAAGGCAAGCATGCAATCATGTGCACGCAGAGGCACAAAAACACATGCTCACAAAACACACACACACACACAGGCATGCGCACACAGATGCACACACAGGCATGCACACACAGACGCACACACAGGCATGCACACACAGACGCACACACAGGCATGCACACACAGACGCACACACAGGCATGCACACACAGACGCACACACAGGCATGCACACACAGACGCACACACAGGCATGCACACACAGGCATGCACACACAGACGCACACACAGACGCACACACAGGCATGCACAAATGTGTACACACCGGGCTTGGTGGCGATCGCTTGTAATCCAGAAAAATGTGTAGGCAGGGTTGATGGATCACACAAAGACCATCATGCTAGTGATTAATGGAAAGTGATGGTCATATCAAGCGAGTAATAATCATGGCGATGATGACGATGATGAATTCGTGTTGTGGGCAGCAGATGGCAATGCAAACAAATTGTTGGATTGTACTCCTAAGCTTCTGCATCTATTATTCCCACCTTTAACCTGCACTGACTAGCATTGTGAAGTATGGTCAAATGACCCCCACTACCGACAGGGTGGGGGGAGACCCTGATCCAGCAATCGATTGACAAAATGGTTCTAAATGTACATGACAACTGTAATGAATACGAGTCTGAAGCAGAGGGTGATAGTGATAACCGAATGATATCAATGACAGTGGTGATGACGATTACCAGCAGACAAGCTCTCTCGACGAGAAGAAAGGCCACCTGCTCACTGGGAGAGGCCCCAATAATCTCTTCCATGCCCTGTCTTCTCAACATCTCCACGATCTCCTTGCGTTCAGTGTCTGCTCATACACACGCACATCATGTCACAAGATGAAGCATCCGTTCAGATCTCTCTCGTAAGAGTGTAACCCTTCCAATTGGAGAATGCCCCACAGAAGTCGATAGCGAATAGCTATCTCTTGAGATTCATACAAGTGACCTCTGTTTCACACAGTAGCAGGCAGCACTTACCCTGCTAAATGTTTGTCATGACAGTCAAACTGATATTTTAATTCTCAGAGATTAAGAGCAGAAACAAATGTAATCTCATGTTTTATTTTTTCAGTCCAGGATGAGTCAATCATCTCACTGCATTTGAGTAGCCCTAAAAAGTGTAAAAGTTATTCTGTTAGATACAGATAGCATGTGGCCAGCAACATTCTCAGCCACCTTTGCATCTCCAGTGACCTCACACATTGTGCCATGTATTAATGTAAGATTGAATCAAACAAGAGCATGTGCTATTGATGTTACATTCAGTCAGGAATCAAACTCAGGTTATTGATATTGTAGAACAGTGTACGAACCATTGGTCCTCACTTATGCCGTGCATATACACAATGACAACAGCAACCATTTGCCACTAAGTGGCGGTGATGTGGCCATGATGCTTTTGCCAGGCTAGCGTTGAAGGCTCGTTGCTAGGTCACGTGACAGATCCAGATGTGAGGATTTAAATGACTGGCCAATGCACCACCTGTGCTGTCCTCTGTCCCAACACCTCTGATTAGCATGGTTGGCTACGCACGGTGCAAAATATGTTCAACATACATACAACACACACGCACAAACACACGCACCCATCTGTGCGTGCATGGCCTCCAGTTCCTGCTTAAGAGTTTCATTCTCGGCCTCCAGTCCCATCTCCCGGTCTTCTGTCAGGGAGCGCACGTGGTCAACATATCGCTCCACCTGCATAGGGGCACAGACACACGAACACATGTGGACATGGGCAAATTAATACACAGGGTGATAGATACACCAACACACAGGGATATGAACGCAAGGAAATACTAACACATTAACACAGAGGGACATGGATACACGAACACCCAAGGAGACGAATACACGGGGACCAGGAGTGGACAGTAGGCAACGGATGGTATTGAGTTTGTAATGGCAACAAGTTGAATTCCTGGGTGGAAGTTCACTCAGACTATCATTCCTCTGGGGTTGACAAAATAAGTACTAATTAGTGCAAAGTCTAACACTGCTCAGGGCCACCAATGGAGATGGGCACCACCTCCCAAACTCGTCTAAGAGACACATTGACTTTTTAAGGAGGATGATGTCGAGTGTTCTGTGCATTGAGTAGCCTGCGTATAAATAGTGTAAGAAGCATTCATCATCAGCTGTAATCGATCCACTGCTGGACGGGGGCCTCCCAAGCCGTTGCCATCGCTCACGGTCTCGCAATGTTACAATACACATAGTTCCTGCACACACATTATTTCATCACTCCATTTCTCCACAGTGGACATCCTCTCGGGCAAGTTACCTTCTCTGGTTTTTGTCCTTTGACTGCCAGTCCGTTGTTAGTCTCAACCACCCTGCTATTATACCTTTGAGTGATATATCCTGCCTCTAACTTGTGTAAGTTCTCTGATCCTCGTGTTTCTTTTCCTGAGTAGAGAATAAGCTGTGCCTGTGTGTGTAGATCTGTGTGATGCTACATTAATACCTCCTGCATGTCGCTCGCCTGCTGCAGTTTTAGCCTCTCCAGCTCCTGCAGGGTAAGGCGGTACAGGTGCCACCCCTGCCCCTGCACACAGTCACAAAGAAAAAGATCCCCCACATAACTTTAACGGACTGTGGGATCAAGTGTACCTATTCGCAGATATTATCTAGGCTGGCACAACCCATGAAGTTGCGGTTTTATCAGCACCACGCCCGGCCACCTTTGTCTTCGCAGTGTTGATGTTCACACACCGCGCAAGATAATTATGGTTGAATCGACCTAAGGGAGGCACAGGAAAGGTTCAGGTCCAATATGCCACTGATGTTCACCGTAAAAAGAAAACAAACCCGAGTTTTCATATTATTGGTTCTTTCGGTAAAGTCACGTAGAAGGGAAAACAATAAAATAATAAAAAAACAATAACATTTTCTTGCTGTAGTGTTCACACCTGATGATGATTGCTTGTGTTGCAATCGAAACGCCGTAAGAATTTTATTGTTAAATCCAAGTTTCTCAAGTTTGTGCACGAATTGGTGGCACACCGTTCCCCAAAGACAACATACACACCCAGACACCATCTATTGCCTACCTTCTGAATCTATCTTAAACGTCTCATTCATTTATACCACTCCACTCTGTTTTGCCCTTGACGCCCCCTATATAACTCATCATTGTGACTTATACATTAACTCAAATCTGTCTCCCCTGGATTTCTGGAGAGACCATCACTGGGTTGTCTTTATTCTAAAGGTCCTCATAAACAAATCCACCAACTACCTGTAGGACCACTTAGTTCCACAAACTCCTTCTTTTAGCCTCAGAAGTTCCTCCTTATTCCTAATCAAATTCAATTTTCTTAAACTGTTTAGTAAAAAAGTCTTCCCGCGTTGCTGCTCCACATTTATGGAATACCCTTACTGCTTATCTACATTTCGGTTCTCCGACTTCACTCCCCCTCTTAATTTCCCTATTAAACCTAAACAAAGAGCATACTTGCACCTGTACCTAACCTTATCTTGGCACCTCTTGCACTCACCTCGTTTGTTATGCAACATCCCTTAAGGATCCTGTATTCGTACTCTGCAATCATATTTCATCTGTTTTCGCTGTGCTCACGAACCATGGATCTCCCTGGCTAAACGGGACCATCTGTGTAACAAATAAAATAAACTCAAACTAAACTCAAATAGGACATACACACTGCATTTATAGATTCTTAGCATTGGGCAGTGCCGGGCATCTTCTGAGCCAATGGTGGAAAATCCACATGCAATCGTTCCACGTGGATGCTGGCAGTGCTACCTGCACATGTTATCATTTCGAGTGGTCCCTCGATTAGGAGTGATCACTTTATTTAACCAAGTGACAACTTCAATAACCGAATGGAAATTTGAAAAATCAAGTAACCATTCTCAACAAGTACTCACTCGACTTCAGAATGAGGGCCTCCACCTCCCCCCACCGCCTACACTGTGCGGATCATATGGGTTATTTGACCATACTTCACCACGCTGGCCAGTGAGGCTTGATAAACAAGTGGAAATAAATTGGTCACAGGCAGCTATTATCAGCCACCCAAGATAAGCCACTCCTCACCAGGAGAGCTCCTGCTGACAGCTACACCCAGTCGTAAATGTATATGTCTCTTCACCATTGGAACCTCATTTGCCAGTAAAAAATATGATAATTGTTTTTTTACCCTCTATTTGGCAACAAAACTGACACCTTTTTTTACAAGGAGTCATGTTTGCATAGACCACAATACCTGCAGCCATAATGCAAACAAAAAACATAACTCTGATAATATATGAACTGTCCTTGAAGTTGATTGGTCCACACCCGAGACAGCTTTCCTTAGAGCCTAGTCTCACATGGGTAGGACCAGATTACGCCAAAAGGCGCCAAAAGGCGTCATCTGGTCCAACCCATGTGAGACTAGGCTCTAAGGAAAGCTGTCTCGGGTGTGGACCAATCAACTTCAAGGACAGTGCAAATATTATCAGAGTTATGTTTTTTTTGTTTGCATTATGGCTGCAGGTATTGTGGTCTATGCAAACATGACTCCTTGTAAAAAAGGTGTCAGTTTTGTTGCCAGATAGAAGGGTAAAAAAACTGTTATCATTATTACGTCTCTTTTTCAGAAGCGACCTGGCCACAAATGATAGCCCAGCTAAGTGGCTTATCACGTGGAAATGTATAGAAGCCAAATACACTCAACGTGTGATGTTAATTCTAAATGTGAAGGGAAAAAAAGCGGAGGACCAGGAGACAAATCTACGCGACCACGGGGAGAGACACCGCACACTCCAAATATACAGCCCGTGTCAGTCACGGGGGTCGGGATCTAACCCACGACCTCCTGTGTACCAGGAGAGGTAGTTAACATCTCGCCACCGTGGCGCCCCTGGTGCAACACTCGTCGACTCGTGGTTTAAATGCCAAATATCAGGTGCCAGCGGACCAATAGATCCACAGGAATGAAAAAAAATCCACCGTGTTGATAGAATAATCAAGCTAAAGTAAATTCCAGTTTAAATAAGCGAAGTTGCAATTATCATCTCCGCTCATGGTCCAGAGCCTGCGTTGCCAATTCCACATTGACATGGCAAAGACCAGTCCATCCATACTAGTCCATGGCAACCAGTCTATGAATGGACTTTCCTGTACACAACCTTCTACCGAGTACTGAATGGAATTTACGCCACAGTAATTACGAATAGTCAATAATTATAATCGTCTACAGCTCTTTCATCAATCCACTGCTGGATGAGGGCCTCTCTATGGCATTACTTCACCAAGCTGATTAGTGCGGATTGTTGGAAAACGGTGAGCATAGTATCGTACACCAAATTATTGTGCTGTACTGCCCTCTGCTGCCCAACTCATACACACGTTATCAATAACGTATTGCAATTATTAACCTTTACATTACAGATTAACGATTAAGATTGAACCCACGAGTGCATCTTAAATCCCCGTAATAATTGCGATCTCCCGCCAACACACCACCACCAAACATCATCACCATCACCTCCTTGTCCTCTTCATCTTCATCATCCTCCTCTTCACGCCCCGGCTCCTGCATCGCTACAGCAGCCTCATATACAACATCAACATCAACCACAACAGCAACAACAACAACCAAACAACAACTAACGCAACAAGTAGTACAGCTATTCGAACAACCACCGGTTTTCACTGAGCAGAGGCTGGGTCAAACCACTATCGACATAGGGGGATTCTATAATTTAGTTCAAATTTTTTTTTTATTTCCGTAAATTAACAAGGTATATTTCTATAACTTACGTAATATATTTTTAATTATTTAGCACGGTAATAACAGATATATATTTAGTTTGGAATAGCTTTCCACGTAGGTGTAAATATTTATAATATAAACCCCTCAATGGTAACTTGGTAGGGTCTGCATGACCCCGGATGTGAATTCCTTTGGCGTGACGAGTTACCATGGCAACGGGAGACTCCAAAGATGGGGGGGGGGTCATTTCCGGGGGATGCAGGGGGGGGTCATTTCCGGGGGGTGCAGGGGGGGTTAGAGCACGTGATGCAATCCACGTGTTGTAGTGCAGCATGCAACACCGTCCAGTAGCGCTGTCATGTCGTCTTAAAGTCTTAAAGTCACTTTATTGTCAAGTGTGTTACATGCATGACATACAACACAGATGAAATTACAGTCCTCTCTCTTGGTCCCACGGTGCAACCAAGCAATTAAAAAATTAATCACAATTAACAGACATAAATAAACAATAAACAATCGGCGATCAACACAAGATAAATAATCAAAAATGTAATAAACTTAAAATAAACAACAGTCAAGAATTTTTAAAATGTAAAATATTATTTAAATAAAGTATTTAAAGAAATAAGATATTTAAACCAGTGTGGTAGTGCGATGTAGTGCAATGTGCAGTCCAGAGATCAGGATGTACGAGTGAATGTGTGTGTGGGGGTTGGGGTCAGGGGGCAAAGGGGGGTGGGTGGGCAGAGGGGGGGAGTGATGGTAGAGCAGGGAGGGAGTTGAGTCTCCTGACAGCCTGGTGAAAGAAACTGTCTTTGAGCCTGCTGGTCCTGGCTGGAAGACTCCGCAGTCTCCTCCCTGACGGCAGCAGACTGAAGAGGCTGTGAGATGGGTGGGTGGGATCACCTGCAATCTTGATTGCTTTGCTGGTGATGCGGGTGTTATAAATGTCCAGAAGAGGCGGGAGAGAGACACCAATGATCCTCTCAGCTGCTCTCACTATGCGCTGCAGAGTCTTGCGGCAGGACGTGTACAATGCATAGATGACTTTACACTATGAGACCTCCTTTACCGGTAGCAAAATATAGTAATAGGTTTTTACCCTTTCATCTGGTACAAAAACTGACACCTTTATACAAGGGATCATGTTTGCAATAACCACAACACAAGCAGTCAAAATGCAAACAATAAGTATAACCCGTAAAAACAAAGTTTTTCACTATAAATCCTTTACATGCGTGGCGGCTAGAGTCCTCTCGTCCTCTGGCTTGAGATGGCTGCCACCTATGGGTCAGATGATTGCATTGCAACATTAAGCAATTGGTAATTAAATATAATATTTTTGTCCTAAAAAGTGTAAAATTTTGGAGAAAAAAATTTCACGAACATTAATTGTCATGCACAACGAGTCTGTGTGGAAAATGTCAGCTCGATTGGATCACGGGAAGTGGGTTAAAAAACGACCGAAAGATTTGCACGGTCCTAAGCAAGCAAGCGAACTTAATATAAAGGATTTAAAAAGAAACAACTCTGATGATGATAATGATATGCACTGTCCTTGAAGTTGATTGGTCCACACCCGAGACAGCTTTTCTTAGAGCCTAGTCTCCATTGGTGTTGGACCAGATGACGCCAACAGCGCACTATCAGAGTATTGAGAGCTCGGGGTAAGAATTTACACTATGAGACCTCCTTTACCAGTAGCAAAATTGTATAAAGGTGTCAGTGTTTGTACCAGGTGAAAGGGTAAAAACCTATTACTACCAATGCATAGATGAGCAATGTGTAACGTTGCAGCATAATGCAACGCAAGGCAGAGGTTCAATGTCTAACAGCGCAGTGAAATGCATAGGTGTGCATTGTGCAACATTAAAGTGTAATTGAATGCACAGATGTGCATTGTATAAACTTAACAGTTGACATGTTTTTATTTTGACCAGGTAAGGCCCATTGAGCTATATCGCGTTTTTGCAGAAGCGACCTGGCCACAACGAAGTGGCAGAGGGGGACGGAGAGGGGGCAGAGGGGGGTGGGGAGGGGGCAGAGCTAGGTGGGGAGGGGGGAGAGGGGGGTGGGGAGGGGGCAGAGGGGGGTGGGGAGGGGGCAGAGGGGGGTGGGGAGGGGGCAGAGGGGGGCGGGGAGGGGGCAGAGGGGGGCGGGGAGGGGGCAGAGGGGGGCGGGGAGGGGGCAGAGGGGGGCGGGGAGGGGGCAGAGCTGGGTGGGGAGGGGGCAGAGGGGGGTGGGGAGGGGGCAGAGGGGGGTGGGGAGGGGGCAGAGGGGGGTGGGGAGGGGGCAGAGGGGGGCGGGGAGGGGGCAGAGGGGGGTGGGGAGGGGGCAGAGGGGGGCGGGGAGGGGGCAGAGGGGGGTGGGGAGGGGGCAGAGGGGGTGGGGAGGGGGCAGAGGGGGGTGGGAGGGGGCAGAGGGGGGTGGGGAGGGGGCAGAGGGGGGTGGGGAGGGGGCAGAGGGGGGTGGGGAGGGGGCAGAGGGGGGCGGGGAGGGGGCAGAGGGGGGTGGGGAGGGCGCAGAGGGGGGTGGGGTGGGGGCAGAGGGGGGTGGGAAGGCCACAGGGGCAGCCCCGCCAGGATGGCGGACGGCAAGCGGGCAAAGCTGACGCTGAAGCGACGAAAAGTTCAAAGCAACGGCGGCAACTCGTCCGGCAGCAGCGACAGAGCCTCGGCGGAGAAGTCTCCACGACTTGGGGACGGCAACGCCGCCACTGTTTTCGGCTCTGCTTCGAGTCTGACGGCATCGTCCCACGAAGACACCGACCCTCGGATAGATTCCGTACCGAGCGAGGCGCGGGGGGACGGGCAGGGAGGTGTAGGCCGCGACGGGGAGAGCGCGGGGTGAGCAGGTTACAGTTCAGTGCGCTGCTGTTATTATTGTTATTATTGTGCTTGACTGTATTTCGAATTAGCGGTGGTGGGTTTACTCTCCAGCGCACCGGTGTGCCATAATTAGTAACTAATTGCCACGTTTTGTTTACGTTACAAACCCTTGCTAATTGGCTGTGTTGGATGCTGGAGGGCTACCGACACATTTATATTTACACGATCGAAACCCTCTCACCCCCCCCCCCCCCCAAAAACCTTTTTTTAACAAATATGTGTCGCGAAAGTTTACGTGTCAAGCTGATGTAATTGCCCACCATCATGGACTACCCACGCTGCTGACGAGTATGGGGAAGTATGGTCAAAAATACGTTCGTGAATTCGCAAAAGCATGTACATTATCATAGCACAGTGTGCTGACTACTTCACCACCAATCTCGATTTGAAGTTTTCACCACCACAACTGAAGAGTTTCAGTTACATTTATTAGGATTTACCCTGTGAGCCATTCGGCTCTTGATTTGGGTTCAACCGCAACAAACAATACAATTACAAGATGCACCTAAAATTCATTGAACACAAATCTAAACATCACATACGTAAACAATAAAAATCCTACAGAAAAAGCATAACCCGTCCATGCTGCGTATAAAAAGTGCAAAAAATTCCATTTAGATTAATCCCAATAACAATACAATACAGATCAAATTTTTAAGTATAAATTTATACTAAAAAAAATTGGGCCAAACCAAGCCCCTCTAAAACTGACTAAAACAATGCTTTTTAAACAACGTAACAGTTTTCCTTAACAAATGTGATTAAAAGTTTACAATAGCGACACAACACACATAACTAAATCTAGCATCCTTCGCTAGCTGCACAAGTTAATCCGTAACAGCTGGATTAACAATAGCAGTAGCAGCGCACTATAATCAAAATACATAATAAGTTCATACGTCGGTCATCTATAGCTATATTTTTTATTTCAGGCCACAGGATAGCAATGGCAGCTATGGTTGTACGACTCCTCGAGAGCATTTTTGAGTGATCGTCTTGTTGGTAACGATCCAAATGCTGTTCAAATCATCCGTCCTCTACTGCATTCTCCCACATCTGTCGTGTCTCATGAACTGTACTGTAAACCGATTAACTTTGGTTTCATACGCAGTTGGTGCCCTTGAGTGTGTGCATTGTGTCCGTGGATCACACACTTTCCTCTTTACTTAGTCACCCGAGTTCAATTCCTGGCCATGATTATGCTCAGTCATGCCTCGAAAGAGGATGTTCCTGGTGTCACACATGAATAAGTAACCATTTAAAGAAGGAAACATACCACCAGGTGGATTAACTGTGGACATGTTGGCAATGTCGTGTCCACTGAAAACTTGAGTGCACCAGCCCACATCTATACAGGATATGGACTTGTCAATTACACATAGCTTGAAGGGATGATGACGGATGGATAAGACAGGTGACAATAGCAAAGGAGAGCATGCACCTGAGAAGATAACTACTGTGCAGATGGAGCAATGAGATACATTCATGTACGGGAGTGAGATGGATTGTGGCAAAATAGGACTGACGCGTGGTGACAGCATGTGGAGGTCTTCATCTAGCGGTGGCCAGCTAATAGCTGATGATGCACATCAATGCCAATAGTCAACTTGTATCGTAGCCTGCACGGGGCACTCACGGTCAGCTCCGTCAAAAATGAGTTCCTTCTGCAGTGTAGTCTTGGGCCTATGCAAGGTGGCTGGGCATACAGAGTACTGGTACCACAGTACCTAGCCTTTAACACGTGCAAAATGAGCCCCTTAATAGATGCTTGCTAACAGCAGTTCCTGCAGTCTGGAAGACGTTTACGTATACACAGGGGAGTATCTTTGTTCCTGCAGGGATTTGCAGGCTGTATTTGAATTGCTGCTGCCTGGGTGTGGATCCCAAGTGTGGACTGACATGCCTGAGCTCCCACCGATGTGCGAGGTAGTGAACCATAAACATCACCACCATCATTATCGCTGTCAGCATCATTACCATCACTATTGTCACCATAGTCACCATCGTCACCATCATCGCTGTCACCATCACCATTACCTTCAGCATGATCACTGTAAATGTATTGGCATTTCCATCATCATGGTTCGTTAGTATTTGTAACAAGGCACACCACGACTTCTGCAAGTGTATTGCTGTGTACACACATATCGTATGCAGTTTTTTGCAGTTTCATACCAATAACAAAACAGTGAATGTCAATTCGTGAAGTTAATCTAAAACATCAATACAATTTGAAAGTACATTTGAAGGCAGTACAATCCTGTAACAGTAATCTATTAAACACATGTTTTAAAATTACATTTAAAATCTCTTTAAATATACATTTTAAAAGTTCCGTTTTTTTCTGGAGAGACGGATGAACACACGTTTAAACTCTAGATTACTACAGAGCTCCAGGAGCAGAGCTGCTTATTGCTCTGCGACGTCAAAATGCCTGAAAAAAGTTTCAGGCTTTTATTTATTAAGTACAGGTTTCCTTCACTTTAGGTGGTAGATGCGTTCCATGAAAAAGGGGCACAAAGCCAAAACGCACGATACAGGTGCCTGCCGAGTAGTGCATACAGTTAACACAATGTTGCCCCATGACCGACCGCATCGCCACATAGGAATGAATTCAAACTGCAGATAGCAAATTGTTGGGTCGAAATAGGTTAGCCACATATAAATAAGAAATTGCATAAACCAAACCTGCATAAAGCAAGGGAAGCCTGTACACCGAACCACTCTTCTATTACAATAAAATAATTTGTTTAAACCCTCGGTCGCATATATTGATAAGTGAAAGTAGCGTGATATCTGACAATTAAGCACCCATGTCCTTTGCACTCACAGGAGGATGACCCCAGTGAGCATAAATCTGCCACAGAAGCGATGCTGTTGCTGAATGGTGGGTGGCCAGCCAAGGTCACCTGGTCTCCGCTGCCACCACAGTCTTGAAGACTTCTCCTCCATGGGACAATCACGAGTCACGGATAACACTGGAGTTGGGCGATTATAAGTATCCGATTACCAGCGAGATTACTCGCCTAAATGGTAACAAAAATACGTGAACAAACGTCTTGCCTCTTTTCTTTACTAGATTGGCCATTGGTCCTGGTTTTCCTCAGGTCATCCTTTTTGTTGAGGTAGCTGTCCTGGGAAACCCATACGTCTTCCTGGGAAACCCCTGGTGTCTGTCAGTTGCTTAATAATGATATTTCACTCAAGACAATGCACTTACAATTAGTTATCCCGTCTTGTGGTATTGTGATTTTTCGGATTTTTGTACCTCAGAGGTGGCCAATATTTCTCAATGTGTGCCGCTCGACGCGAGGTGATGGGTGGGGTTTGACATGTCATTGGCATCGTCTGTTTCATCACGCTTGGTGTAGCTTGTAGGGGGTGGGGGGGTTTCCCACCTTCAGGAGGCAGAATGTGGTGGTGCCAGCTGTTTTTTAAGTGGCCTAAGGAATCAACTGCAACAAAAGATTTTGATTATACATTTTTGTTGATGAATCAACGTAATCGACTAACCATGAGCTCAAGAAAACGGGTCACCCAGGCTTTGGGGACCCCTACGATTAAAATGTTTTATGTTATCTAGATTTATATAGTGCCCTTTCCAAGGCGCTTTACAACAATTATACAATTGTACGTAAGATAATGGTATGCACATGTGCACAAATATTGACGCGCATGCACGCACCAAGGACAAACGGCCGGCACACCACGACTCTTCTCATCAGACGCCAATTTATAATTGTTGGCTGCGATGTTACAGCCCATGGGGGCTCCAAACAAATATTTTCCCTAGTCAACATCAAGAGCTGGCAAAACATACGACGGTCGTTTGTCAATTTCCACGAAATGTAAATATAATTTTACGAGGACACTGTTGATAAGGTTCGAATGTGAAGAGATTATCGTTGTCAATGCTATAGACGTCACCCTGCCTCCCAGCATCGTTAAATCCCCTTTCTGCCAAATTGACACCCAACTTCAATCTTTTACCAAGTCACCAGCCGTGCTCCATCCACAGCTGGATAAATGCATCACCATGCCATCACAAGGTTCTGCAAATGCCGCACTATCTCACTCCTTCACATGGACTCAGCGGATGTACTCTCACCAGCGTTCTATTGTCTACCAGTCACCATGTGTCCATTGTTCATCATCCCTTCGACCCATATTATGTCCTGTCCAAGTAGACTTAATTTCTTTATAGACAATCTCAGATTGCATTCTTTCCTTGAACCAAGTGTTGCTCTTAATGCATCGGTGTGATACCAAGCAACCATAATTTCACGTTGTGTTGAGCAGATCACTTTTCCACGTCAGTGTTTAACGTTCCTAATCTGTATCATAGCTGGAAAATTGAAATGATTAAAAATGTTCCTGTGGGCACATTGGTATGCTGTTTTTCTTCAAATGGAGTTTGCAACAAAGAAACCCTCAAGGTTGCGGATGGGACTTATTTGATTACAATCCCCTCCAATAATGCAATTTTTTTCATACGGTACGTAGCCAAACGTGCCAATTGGAGTTATTCTACCACTTCAGTTGTCCCTGTAAGAATGTTTACTTTTATTAGCCATACTTTATTATCAAGCTAGCATGGCTTGTTTTGCTCGTTTATTTTTGAAGTCCAACTATTCAGCCTTTCTTGAAGTTCTTATTATTTCTTGCAATTCATTGCCAACATTTCGGTAACTTCTGGGTGCAACACTAATTTACTGTTATTGGCGATGTGAAGACAGGCATCAGTTAAGTTGCTACCTCATGTGGTATCAATTTCTGCTGTGGGCTGTGGGTTAACATGTTAAAATAATTAACATTAAAACTTCAATCGAACCAGCAGAGCCACTAAGAATTCACATCACACAAACTTCAATCCTTTGTATGCATGAACTTCTTTCGCACCGTATGTAGCCAACCATGCCAATTCTGAAGTGCATGTGCTTGGTGACACCACACATCCAGTCGATGACATTTAAATTTGTACTTTCAGAGAATTAATTCTAGAAACGAGTTGAGACAATGTGCAGTCACCATCTCCCCTTTAACATGTAGGCTGTCGCGACCAATATCATCCACAAGGTTTTTTTGGTTAGATCGCGTAAACGTCGTTAAAACACGCCACCACCCAATAGCCAACTTGGCAGGGTTGTCACGTAAACAGAACATGGCAATTGTCACTAGTACAGCACACCCGTGTGTTGGAGAGCACACTTGAGTACCGAGCCAGTACTCTTGATTGGAAATATTGCAGTTTGGCTCTCCAACACACCGGTGTGCTGTACTAGTAACGAATTGCCATGTTCTGTTTACGCAACAACCCTTACTAGTTGGCCATGTCGGGTGGTGCAGGCTTTAACGACACATTTATGCGATCTAACCCAAAAAAACTTATGGACCATCTCCCCTTCAAGTTAATGGCATGTACAGGCAGCTGAGGTAAGACTGGATCTATTCTGGTTCAGCATTATTGCCCGAGGATCGCAATCCCAGACCAAACGCCATAATGCACTTGGGGATTCTTTACAGCATCGTTGTGATGTGAAAAGCTTTAGTTGCCCAAATCACAGTGTCCAATTTGGACAGCTCTTTGCTCAATCATTCACATGTTTCTTTATATGGTTTTCTTTTGCCAGATGGAATTAGATCCTATACCACTGCTGTACCAAATTATACACTGGCTTTATATAGCATACAAATGCAACTGTCACAACAAGAAAAAGGAGCAATCATGTCAACCCATGTCTGCTAATAACCCATCCAAGCTAAATACATAACCTGACAGTTTTTCCATAGTGAATGCAATGCCAGTAATTGATCCACTGCTGGATGAAAGCCTCAACAAGCTGTCGCCATCCCCTCAGTCTTGCAATGCAACAAGTGACAATTTGCACAAAAGTGGCCCACATTTGATCATGGCCTTGGTCTTTACGACTCGAAGGGCAAAGTCACAAGTGGGTAATAAGAGGGTAAATGACTGGAAAAACTACCCGGTGCTGCGATAATAAAGGGACACGTGCAGAGGGGCGTGCATCACGTGTTGACGTTTATTTTAGCTGTTGCACAGACGTTTCCACACTCAAGAGCGACATCCGCGCTCCGATCACACAACTGCAGCGTATACACTCGACTTTGAAGAAGTGAAGCCGGGGAAAGTGTGAGGGGGTGGGGGAAATCGGGATGAAATGCAAGACTTCGCGCCATCGCAGGCAAGGATGGTCCAGTCGGCCCCGAGAGGCCGAGTACACTTACAGTGGTATACTACGCACAGACGCTAAGACAGGGCACGCGGGCAACGCGACACCATCACCCACGCGAGCGACATTTACTTTACGTAGAGGGGGGAGAAACAGCACGCACACACAAACATCAGCTGTTAGGAATGGCGATAAAATCAAGACGGCGGCCGCCGCGGCGTGTACTGTTGGTCGTGGGAGAGCAAGGGGGCGGCACAAGATGGCTGCTGCCGCACGACAGGAGAGGAGGAGGAGAGGGCGGCCTGCTGTGAAATGCTCTTCGTTTTCACTTGCAGGAGTCCATGTACGTGATCAGGTCGATCACACGGGTGCTGTAGCCAAACTCATTGTCGTACCTGAGCGAGAGAATAGAATGTGCAGGTAGGGGTGGGAGAGGTGGAGAATACATCAACTTGGAGAAGTGCACGCTGTTCCTCCAATTGTCCCTGGTATACAGGAGGTCGTGGGTTTGATCCTTATGCCTGTATATCGAGATTGCATGTTCCCCCCGTGGTCATGCGGATTTTTCTCCGGGTCTTTTGGTTTTTCCCTCCACATTTAGAATCAACATGCGTTTATAATATTTGGCTGCTATACATCTCCACATAATCCACTTCAATAGGCTATCATTTGTGGCCAGGTGGCTTCTAAAAGAGAGCTATATAGCCAAGTGGGCCTTACTTGGTCAATAAAAAAAATAGTTTGCAGGACCTGCACTTCTAAGGGTAAGAGTTCAAATGCCAGTCGGCGGTTGACCAAGACCATCAACATAATTCATCTGGTGTATTGAAACTGGTACAGGCGTGTCTCTATGACTTTGCTACAACGATAAATTAGAATTTAGACCAATTTGTTCACAAAACAGGCAAAATGTTCGCATATTGAGTGGAGACCGACCGATATATACATGTTTTGTAATGAACCCAGCAACCCTGGTTCGATTCCCAGCCACGGCTAACATCAGTGGTGATATTTGAACCAGCAGTCCTTCATGGCCCCTGGTGTTCCCTCCATCCACTAACATCTACTGATGTTTTATTACTTTTTGTATCTCACATTAAAAAAGTTGTTTAAGAGTGGAAAAGTTTGGGGCTGGGAGTCAATGGCAAAAATTGTGATCTATAAGTTTAACGAGTTTAGATTAAAGCAATTTCCGCAGAACGGATTTTCGCTCGTTTAGCGAGATGCACCTGTACCACTTTCTGTAGCATGGTGGGTGCCAAATGTGCTTCCCCATACGATGTAGACTAGACGATTATCAGAAGTGGTTCTGCGATATATGCTTTTATGGGTCCTCTAAAACATGAAGGTTGTTATACACCACTCTGCAAGATTTCCAAGAGGGTTGATCTCATTACACCATTCAGCACATTGGGGTTAAATGTGGGGAAAAAAAAATTAACCCGTAAAAACAAAGTTTTTCACTATAAATCCTTTATATGCGTGGCGGCTAGAGTCCTCTCGTCCTCTGGCTTGAGATGGCTGCCACCTATGGGTCAGATGATTGCCTGCCACCATTAAGCAATTGGTAATTAAATATAAAAAAAAAATTCCTAAAAAGTGTAAAGTTATGGAAAACATTTTTCACGAAAATAAATTGTCACGCACAACGAGTCTGTGTGGAAAATGTCAGCTCGATTGGATCACGGGAAGTGGGTTAAAAAACGACCGAAAGATTTGCACGGTCGTAAGCGCGCAAGCAAGCAAGCGAGCATAATATAAAGGATTTAAAAACATTTAAAAAGCAAGGAATTATTCCATGTTAAAATGGATACTTTGCCTCCGTGTGTGGGTTGTGAGGAAAGTGGTGGAGCAACTGACCAGGAAATGAGTTTGACGAACTGCTTGTTGAGAGCGATGCCAGCTTGTGCGTCGAAGATGGACGAGTGGGTGTCGCCATTGAAGTCGGTGGACACGACCTACGGTCAAGCACACGCATGTTAGTGGTGACCGTGGATGGTGATTGGAGGTGGTGGGTTCTGGTAGTATTGGCTCGTTGTGCTCACCAAATCCTCGGTGTATCCCAGGATTCCCTTCAGTTCACCCTTGGATGCCTCGAGAACCTTGGCCTTGATTTCATCATACGAGGCCTGATGAACAAGAACAAACATCCATTAACAAACTGTTTAGGCAAGTGCTGTTCATGAGCCTCGATGAAGAAGGCTGAAGTGGCGCACAAGGTGGTGGTGTCTTCTTGGTTCTTTCAGTAAAGTCACGTAGAAGGGAAAGAATAAAAATAAAACATAATAAAATAATTCTCACGACTTGTTTAATATATCGGAAAGACAGACGCTGTCTTTCCGACAGACCTGTTCTTCACCCGAGGACGGCTGCTTGCGTTGTGGCCGAAACGTCGTGAGAATTATTTCATTTGTTTATTTTTATTATTTTATTATTTCCCTTCTACGTGACTTTACCGAAAGAACCAAGAAGATGAATCCCTGCAGTAACGAAAGCTTTAAATCGAAATTTAAGGGGGTGGTGGTACGCCAAACCCAGTCACCTTCATCTCCCCAGTGCGGATGTTTACAAATTGCACCAGCCACTCGTTTAAGGTCGAGTCGGATCAGGGGAGGACCCAGTGGTCCGGAATTTAACACTTGCGCACGGACACATGACATGTACAACACATAAATGCACAAGCACATGCAAATTTGCATGCGCACAAACACAAACAGGTGTTCCAAAGCCAAAAAACACATTCCACAAGACAGAAGTAACCACCCTTATCATGCAATTTCATCTGCATAACCAGGAATGTCCTTGGTAATTTACAAATACCCTGCTGACCGCACCTTACTCCAACTTTAACGAAACACCCCTCGTGATGCCAACTTACCCCCCCCACAGCCCTGCCCAAGTTGTGATCCAAAAAGCAATACGGAGGGGAGCTATTGAGCGGGGGTGTGTGCATGCGAATGTCTCTCGTTACCGGCTTGGCCAGACGGCACGTGAGGTCGACCACCGAGACGTTGGGAGTCGGCACGCGGAACGCCATGCCTGTCAGCTTTCTGCGGAAACATGGGCACACGTGTGGGGTTTACCCGGCGTTAAAAAACACACGCCGAGAAAGCGGAGCATCTTGTGCGTCCACACGCCACCGTTTGCATTCCCGGTCCTGCCTCCGTTCACATCAGTTCTGCACCATGCATCCCTTGTGCCTCCCCGTGCACATCTCCTTGGAGCATCCCCTTGTGCCTCTCCATTTAGATAGGCTGTTAAATTCCAATGAATCCCCCTGTGCACATGTATATGTACCCAAGCATATCCCAAAGTGTCGATGTCAATCCTCGTGCATCCCTGTGCCTCCCAGTTAATCCCGGTACATTGGCATTTATTTTTTCGTCGACAGCATCCTTATAAAATCGCCGTTCCATCTGTGACCCCCCCCCCCCCATTCGTCTCTTGCGCAACCCCATTCCACTCCACGCATCCACCTTCAGGCTCTACGCATTCATGCATTTCAACATACTGCCATGCCCCCCCCTCTCCCCCACAATGCATCCTTGTTCACCCCCTATAAGTTTCTTGAATCCTCTGGCATCCTCTTTCAATCCTTTGGCTCCCTTTGTGTCCACTTATCTCCGACTTGCCTACCCCTACCCCTCTTTCACCTACCATTTCCTCCCATCATCTTTACCCTGCCATGGTTCATGCCACATTACATAAACTTTTGTAACCATGCCTTCTGCGATATCACCAAAGCTTTCACACCCATTGGTCCTCGTGTTCCTCGTGCATCTCCCCCCTTGTATTCACGTACCCGTTGAGCTCGGGGATGACCATCCCCACGGCCTTGGCAGCGCCAGTCGAGGCCGGGATGATGTTCTGAGAAGCCCCGCGGCCGTCGCGCCACATCTTTGCAGAAGGCCCGTCCACAGTCTTCTGCGTTGCCGTGTACGAGTGCACCGTGGTCTGCACACATGCAGAGAGAGAGATAACTCCCTGAAGCCTTGCTGTAAGAGCTGGGACCGTTGGTCTAGTAAAGCCATTAATAGACCGAAAACTGTGAATCGACTACCTTTTAAATGCTCGATTTCTGTGTGCGCATTTCCCGGCTGAGTAAGCATGCGTATGCTCCGTGTATATATATATATGCAGGTTTCTCCGTTGAGTTGGGTGTATGCCCATGTTTACCATGAGCCCCTCCACAATGCCGAAGTTGTCGTTGATGACCTTGGCCAGAGGAGCCAGGCAGTTGGTTGTGCACGATGCGTTGCTGGAGACAAAATGAGCAGAGGAGAGCTGTCAGTAACAAAAAATTATGCACAAGAAAGACAAGCTTGCAAGACGGGAGCTCTGCAACCAGATTAGGTGGCGAGATATGGTATGTAACTGTGCGCGATTCAGCGTGTAATTTGTATGTGCGAGTGTGAATGTTTGTAAGTGTGCGAGCATGTCCCAATGGAGTGCAAAAATAAGGGTGTGGGTGTGCACATGCGAGCTTTATGAAGAACGTGTGCACAATTGTGTGGGTGTTAGCACGTTACGCGCATCGCAGCAATGCAAACGTGTGTATGTTTACGGGGTAAATGGAAGTACTACAAGTGTCAGACAGTGTGCATGTGCTGGGGTGTGAAAATTCCTGGGTCTATTCGATGACCTCCTGCAGCCTAGCCTTCCACACTTAACATAACGTCACAATGGTGCATAGCCCCACACAAGTACCGTAGCAACATCGCCGCCACTTAGTGGAGTGGCAGATCTTGTCGTTTCGGTAGCAATAGCCAACGCAGGTGCGTGCTCCGTACCTGACCACCTTCTGCGAGGGGTCGTACTTCTTGTGGTTCACTCCCATCACGAACATGGGCGCATCGGCAGACGGGGCCGAGATGATGACGTGCTTTGCACCGCCCTTCAGGTGCAGCTGATCAGCACGGAAACGGACAAACGGGGGTTAACGAGCGGATGAAAACCCTGCCCCCCCCCCCCCCCACAAACCACGCTACACGCGCATGTGTGAGAATGCAAGCATGTGCAAGAGAGCATACTTACAGAGGCCTTATCGATGGTGGTGAACACACCGGTGGACTCCACCACGTAATCGGCATCATGCTTACCCCATGGGATGTTGGAGGGGTCACGCCTGCACACACACAGAATCACCATTAGCACACACTTCCTTGTCCACTTCCCCCAATCTTCCCTTGCTTCTACTGCTCCATGCCTCTCAAGGTGCTTGCATGGCACAAAACATCTTCCGACTGGTCCTGGGATGGCTCTTTTACCATTTTGGTTAAGGAGGCATTGAAGACGGTTTTATTTTGCGTGCCAAAGCTGTCTTTATTGTGAACAATTATTACTACCTCGAGCACACATTAGGGGGAATCCTGTTGTTATATCTGGAGCACAACACCAGTTCCTCACTCCCTGCATTAAATTAAATGCAAAGCATTTAGGGTAATCGGTAATCCAGCTCACTTAATCACTCCAGTTACTCGCTCCATGGCAATCTATCACCTCAGTGTCACTAATATTGCTACGGACAGTGGTTTTTGTTTCGTTTGATCCATACCGTGTTCAACTAATCATCCTTCTACCACCAAGTGTATCGGTGAATATATTGTATTGGTGTGCACAACAATAATAAAAATGTATAGCCCTTGGTCAATCCACTGCTGGATGAAGGCCTCTTCATGCAGGTCAGTCGTTGAACGATACATATCATCATACGGATTAGTGCGGGTCGGTGAAGGAGGGGTCCCAGGACCAGTTGAAATATCACTCCTCACCGATGCCATCCGTGGATTTGTAGCAGTTTGCCAACCACTCCGCAAGTCCTCCCTACAACCGCTTTGCGCGTGTGCTGCATCGTAAGGTGGTGGAGGCAAGTATTGTGCAGGCATGCGCCACTGTATATGTGCTACGGTTTATATTAAATACAGGATTTGGGACATGCCTCGTGTGAAGGTGTGCTCTATAGTAATTAAAAACCTCATGTTTGACAATAACACTGCCTTAATATCAGAATAGTTGTTTGTACTGGAGGAATGCGATGAGCTCTAAAGTTATTTTTCACAGATGTCCAGTAGGGACGGGTCAGAATGTTACAACAATATGGAAAGTATATACCGATACGATGTATTTTAAGTCCATTTTACACATTTTTGTTTATAAGGCAGTGTTATTGATTAACGTGTTGTGTTTTTGTCATTTGTGCACTACTGCCAACGCAGTTATCACCATACAGTTTGTTCCATAGCCAGAATATCCACCTAGGCAAGTGTGTGTGCAAGGTTGAATGCTGCAATGATTGCCTCTGATATGCTGCACCCATGTGTGTTGCACAGTTGTGTGCATATACAGTTGTACACACAAGTGCATGTCACTTACTCCGAGTAGACGGCGACGGCATGTCCATTGATCAACAGCTTCCCATCCTCAACCTTCACGTCTCCCTTGAATCGTCCATGGGTAGAGTCATACTTGAACATGTAGACCTAGAAAAAACACAACCATCCAATGTAAAAATTCACAAACCCCACCTGCAGCCCAGGTACCATGAATTGTCACAATTCTATTCTGCATAGCAATTAACCTTACATGCTTTTATTCAGATACCACATTCTTCTGCCTGGCTCCAAGCCACCAGCTCGCACTCGCCCACATAAACACATACGCTCGACTCTGGGCACACGTTAGAAACAGCTGGATGAAGACCTCCCCTCAACCCTTAAAATGTTTAATCCAGGTCACCCTCAGGAGGAAAAAAAAAAACCCCATTTTCATCCTCTTTGGGTCTTTCGGTAAAGTCACATAGATACAAAAAAAAAACACGACGTTTCGATCGCAACACAAGCAATCGTCTCCAGGTGGAAAAAAACCCACAGCAGAACTGTATTTTTTCATCTCGACGGGGTTTCCCCCCCACCTCTATCACCTGATGAAACAAAATGGATTTTATTGAAATAGACACACCCATTTACATGCGCACCGAGGCTTTGGGCTCTGGAGGGCAGTGCAACACAGGAAGCAATATCTGCACCAACGTTGCCAACGGCTTTCACTGTAGAACCAACCCAACCGGTTTGTTTAACCGGAAGACGAAACCACGGTGCGTGGGGCGGAGGGTTGCATGGGTGTGTGGCAGAACCATGAGGGATAGGCACCGTGAAATGGACTCTACAGCCCAACCCTTGTGGATAACTACAAGAGTTGCTCTTTCCAGATTAACATTAAACGGTTTCATATTGATCCCCGACTTGGCCCCTCAGGGATGATTTTCGTCACAGCATCGCCATTTATTTTTCGTAGCATGCGTCGACCTTGGAGAGGGGGCTCTGGCTGGGTTCACATGCCAATTTCCCAGGTCTGATGGCAAGTCATCATCAGGACTGAAAGCCCAGGTGGCAGGCTTTGTAGTGCTGTGCGCTCGATAACCACCCCACCACTGCATATACAGTGCGTGCGCACAGGGAAATGCTGTTAGTGAGCACCACATTAATTTTGGCATTATTGAAGACCCAACGAAGAAAGGAAAGGCCGAGTTTCTCTTTGCACCGATGATAGTGGACCACTGAACAGTGTGCAAACACTATGTGGAAGGTGTGGATATTTCCTTCACAAATGGAAGATCTAAGGACTCAAACTCAGAATGCGGTGAAGTGAAAAATCAGGCACATCACTGATGACTACCCAATACACACACACATTCTGGTGGAACAAGACTCCACTCATACCATGGAATGGCTTGCACAATTAAAATACAATTAGTCTGTTGCTTTTTTAAAATGCCATGCAATAAAGGATAATAAAGAAATATCCAAACTGGTCATGGGCCTCCCCCTAGGTAGGACTGCACCTTATAATGAGCATCTGGGAGAATGTGTAAATATGAGCAATGGGGAGACAAAGGTGGTCAGGGCGATTCTGTACACACCACTTTGTGCACCATTCCAGCGGCTCAAAACAGCAATTTCTCCCAGCAATTTGTTCAAGGCTACATAGGGGAATTGTGATTTTGCCTGTGTGGTTTGGTAGTAAGATGAAGGAACTCACCATGTATTCCAGGTCAATGAAGGGGTCGTTGATGGCGACCACATTCACGTCTTCCTTTTGCACGGCAGCACGAGCCACCAGGCGGCCAATACGGCCAAACCTGTGACATGGCCAAACACAGGCACACAGAAATAAATCTTACATTAGAACACAAAAGCCAACAACCTCTGTCCTCGTTTTACCTATGACACCTTGGTGTTTCACCTCTTCAAGAGCTGAATCTTTCACCACAAGTACAAATAAATTCTACCATTATTACAATTTGAAGAGCTGCTCGAGTTTGGCTCCAGAGCATTGGGCATTTACGCTCACCTAATGCCTTAAGTCTGGCTTTGAGTGGCTTATGGCTCAACCATAGCAGTTGTGCAGGCATTTATCTTTCTAGATTTCAGGCAATGATTACCTCACACGATTGTGCTCCAGCGCATGCATGATCTAGAGTGCAAAGACTACATTTATTACCCATTGTTCAAACTTTTTTTATATAGAGCTGGGAGCAGTACCGCAGTGGTTAGCGTACTACACTATGAACAGAGCAACCTGAAATTTTTATATTGGCCATGGCCAACGGTAGTGGCGAGTGATATCCGAACCTGTGGTGGCCCTTCCAAAAGCAACCTGCACTGATCAAGCGTGGTGAAATTGTCAATTAACCCCAATGACTGACACTGCATCGACCGGCCTTCATCCAGTCGTGGATTGCCAAAGGCCCGCACAAATGATTGGTTTATACAGCATACCAAGCTGAACATTAAAAACGATTCCGATTTGATTTTGCAAAGGGGGGCAACTGAATGTCGTTCGCGGTCGTTTACGCGCATCGGTGACAGTGGACGCCCTGTAGCTAGGAGCTCATCACGATTCAGACAAAGTGAGAAAGACCAAGTTACTGCTGCAGACGTCAGAGTAACACACGGTGACAGAGCATGCGCTTGTGCAACACGCGTACGTGACCACACTGCAAAAGCGTAGACCACATTACAAATAAAGGAAGTTGGAGAGTTGCCGCATGTTACTGTAGGAAGCATTTTCCAACATTCATTATTTTTTTTAATGTAGACTTTTCCAAGTATAGGCTTGAGCTGACAACTTAAACTTGCTAGCAAGGTTGTTTGCATTTCTCTCAATTGTATTTAAATTAGAAAGTGAAATCCTGTTGTCACAAGAGAAAGGGTAGATTTGGAGATTTCACAAGAATCGGTGCGAATGGGCCAGATTGGAAGGTGTTGCACGACTGCGTCTGCAACAGCGTCCACATTTGTCAATGCCCTGCTCACCACACGTCAAGCATAATTTCGTTAAAACTTAATTTTATACGAGGATTTCCGTGCTACCATGGTTACTGGGCTGAAACCACCAACTCGTTACCCTTGAAAACCTGGTGCGATCACCAGCGGCTACAACTCAGATTTAATCCCAAACTCAAATCAGTTTCAGCTCTGTGCCCCCTGGCTACCTCAAGACATAGGCATGTTGGGGCGAGTACGTGTGCAGTGAAATCTCTGCCCCAACTGCTTTTTGCTTTCCACAAGATTGTGCATCGAACTACGCTGGATGCTCGTATCTCCAACAGCATCTGGGAGATCCCGTTTGGCTTTTCTGACCGCAATGTGTGATGCATGACGGACACCAGTCACGCGCAGGGATGGTTAAGATTATTATCGATTCCTATACAGATGCACGTGCATTGAAATCGTTTGAGATAAAAGTACAAAAAACGTGAAAACTACCATCCAAAATGCAGCTAGCTGACTGGGTGATAGAGCGAATGGTTTGCAATAAGTTGGAAGTTAGATCCCAGGTTGGGCAGGCCGAGTAAGCCCCATCTCTGGAATCTACACAATTAGTACCACTTAGTGGGGAATTCAAAAACGGTTATCAAAAGGCGACTCTCGTCACTGCCATTGGTGTGGAATTTCCAGCAAACAAGAGATCACACGGATTTCTGTAAAAAAAAAAAGTAGACAATTTCACTGTATCCAAAATATAAAACGATGGCAAAAACTTCAGAAGAATAGAATTGCAAACTTGAATCGTGGCAAGTGATCAAATAACTAGGGGGGTGAATTGTAACCTGCCTTCGCATGAACGAGCTTGTGTTTGTACTGTCGTAACGGTTTGAGGTCATGTCTGTGTGCAACAGACTGCAAATGCCTGTGACGGTTGTATATAAAAAATCGTCAGGTCTGAATCTCTTTTGGTTTCCCTGTACAGCAGATGGAAAATCGTAGGACAATTTTCAGCAAGTTGTTTTATGAGAGAGAGAATAGGTTTTCCCCTTTTATCTGGCAACAAAACGTGTTAAGTTGTTAAAACACCAAACTGAAACCTTTTACAAGGAATGTCTGCATTGACCACAATACTTGTGGTCAAATTCAAACAAAAAACACTGGTAATATATGCATTGTGTTAGACCAGAGGCTCAAAAGAAAGCTGTCTCGTGTGGACCAATCAGTTTCAAAGACAATGCATATATTATTAGTATGTTTTTTTTTGCATTTTGACCACAAGTATTGTGGTTAATGCAGAGATGAGTCCTTATAAAAGGCTTCAGTTCGGTGTTTTAACAACTTAACACAGCTGTTTTGTTGCCAGAAAAAAGGGGAAAAACCCTATTCTCATATTTTGGTACTGGCAAAGGAGGTCCCATGTTGTTTTATGTAACCAACCCCTGGGCTTGAATCCACAATCTCAGCCGTGCCAGCCAAGATTCTAACACAGCACAATGTCGACTGATAAATCCAATTAGTAAAATGTCACAAAATTAGACATTTCCATTCTGAACTCGCAGTGCTAGTATTGCAGCAGACCGACCCAGACATTTTTTCACCACAGTGCAACGAGGGCGTGGCAGGCGCGGTCTTTGCAATCCGAGCTGTGGGCCAAGGTTCGTTTGTAGTTTGCTTTTGGTAGCACGTCTCTCCCAGGGTTTCTGTCGCGCAGCTGCGTACCCATAGGAACCAGTGACTGCGGCTTGGGAATTGTGGGTTGTGCCTGCTTGGACACGGTTCAGCTCACCACAGGAACGCCAACTGGCCTGCCTCCAGAAAAATCCAGTTATTATGAAATAGTCCGAATTTTCACATCAGCTAGTTCCTAAATGGGGCTGGCGTGTAGAGGTGAAAGCAGCTCAGGTACACACGAGTGTTCTGTTACAACACCTAGGCTTCATCTCTACGCCCATGCACGTAAGAAAACTGTGCGCACGAACGCGCTTTATAAAAACAGGCAGTGTGTCTTGGTGCAAGGTGCAGTATTAGTCCAAAGCTTTATTACCCATAACAAAGGCACCACAAAGGCACCATTGGGTGCCTTTGTCACATGGTTGATTACACACCTTGCGGATGAGTAACGCGACAGTTTCTGGGAGGCTCAACGTGGGACGCATGAGCTCGAAGACTTTCCCTCCATCAGCCCGGTTCACTTGTTAGACAGCCACACCCACACAGGGAGGCATTGGTCTCACGCTACCATTAGCCCCACCAATTCCTCTGCCAGCCCAGCCCTACACCCCGGACTCAGGATACCCACCTTTTGCATGCATCACAAGTGAAGCTCAAAATATTTAACCTGAATAGGATAAAACATTTTTACAAATGCTTTGGGACATGTCATTCCAATGCCCAGACTGTTCTGGCTGAACCGGGTTATTTGGTAACTTTAGTTTGAGTGCGAAGTCAAAATCAGTGTTGTTTTGTGCAAAAAATCAGGGGTTCGCAAAAAGCATTTGGAAGATAAAGCTGGTGCTTGCTGGTGACACCCTATTCAAACCCGGACCAAGGCTACCTCGTTTAATGAACTACTACTGCTTACATAGATTAATCTGCAATTTGGACTACAAGTTGATGATTTATTGCCATGACCCTGCAACTTAAACCCACACCACTAGCATATTGGGAGGGGAGCAGGGGGGTTCGAGTACTGCCACGGTTAACAGTGATGGCCTTTTTTTGCAGAGTTGACCGATTGTGATTTAAAAACTTGGAACCTTCCAATTGTGACCGATGTGTTTCTATTCAAAAGGTGTCAACCAGCCTTTCTATCCATTTTACTGGCGACAGTGAGTGATGGTGTAAATTCAAGAATTCTACAAAGGCAAGAAGGCTGAAAATGTGGTATTTAAAACAAGTGTGTATTCTTACAGTTACAATATGAAAAACTAAATATTTAAATTTTAGCACACAACAATTGTAACGGTGGTGATAATTGGTTTCACGCATAGGACATGTCATCCTAACAGCCTTTACATTGCTGAAATCTCAGCATGAACATTTACATATAAACAATAACCATAATGTCTCCCAGGGAGTGGGACGTCCAAACACAGAAATAAATTTTCGATTTAAAGCTTTCGCGACTGCAGGGAATCATCTCCTTGGTTCTTTCGGTAAAGTCACGTAGAAGGGAAATAATAAAGTAACACATTATTTTATTATGTTTAATTATTTATTATTTTAGTATTTCCCTTCTACGCGACTTTACCGAAAGAACCAAGACGACAGAAATTAGACAAAGCCCACCACCATCTGCTTGTGTACAGTAAATATTTGCATGCAGCCATCGTGGTACAAGCAGGGCTGTTGGGGAAATTATTTTCACATGGCCGCAACCTAGCAGAAACGCTATTTTTGACAGCAAGCCAGCACCAAATCTCGAAAAAAGCCAGAGGCATAAAAAGGGCTGCACTGATGAACCTTTGGAACTTTTGACGTGAATGTGTTTGCTCAGCCGTGCTCAAGCTTGGCGGCCACTATTGCTGCTGCAAACCCAACCATTAAATGAGCTGCTCAGACTCCAATCAGGGCAAAGGGGGAAAAATCCATTGAGTGCTTCCATTTATCCACCGAGAGCCAAGAAAGATGCAAAACCCGAGGGTGATTAAGGAAAAGTTAAATCTATACGGCAGCTCCTGAATATTTCATCATGGCCGATGACGTCACGGCTCTTGGGCTGCAGCACTGCGCCACCGCCATTTCGTGGACAGGAAAAAGGTGTCTCGTGTGAAATAAAACTAGGTGGCTGGGGGAGGATCAGAGGGCTTATGTCCACGTCAGAACAAAGCGCCGGCACTGTCCTTATCCTGGATTTGAGCCCTGGGGCTGAGTGTATCACTGTGAGCTCAGTGTATACCAGATACTGGACCAGGACCCGCTGAGATAACCAGTTAGAATTCAGGTTTCTGACAACTTTCGATTAAACAAAGTTGACAAGGGTAGGGGGGAGTGGATATAATTTATTTACAATTTTTGAAAAAACACGAGTGCTTAAAATTTGGTTAAATGCTCATAATTTAAGGATTGCCATTTGGCAAACCGCTGTACCATAGTATACACGAGTGCCATCAAGTGCTGGATGAGAGTTTACAATTGTTGCAACTCCAGAAGCAAATTCTGTGGAGTCATCCAATAGGGCCGTTCCCTGACATGGCAATGTTCTGCTGCTTTTATTAATTCCATAAAGGACTTGTCTTTACCTTGTGACACAGCTCTATTGGAATGGGATGCACATTAGCCGAATATAAATGAGAACTTTATGCCGAATATTACGTAATTACTGTTGCGCATCCACCAGTTGACGATACCATCAGCCCCTGTTGTACATGCATTACATCAATGCAAGACTGTTTATGGGAGGGTGAAGTGGGCGATTGTGTTTCAAAGTCTTCTTTCACCACAATCTCAAATCGGTTGAGGAAAAAGTCTGCAAATCTATTGGTTGCCCTGGATCCACACCTTGGCAAAGGTCATGCTTAAGTTTGCTGTGCAATTAATAAAACACAAAAAGCCATTTGTAAAAGGATCCCAATGCAGAACCTCTCCTGAATACACAAACCGAAAGCTTTTTTTTTTATTTAAAGCTTTTCTGGGCAAGGCAAAGAATTTCTCTCATTGCGAATTGAGTGTCTACACTTAAACAGTTGAAATGAAAGTGCACCGGACAATACCGCAGCACTGCGGGAAGAAATTTTTCGCGTGAATCTGGTTAGATGTTTTGTTCCATTGGTTTTAATTGTTGCCACCGGTCCTGGGCAATGCAGCAAAATGAAGGCACATCAGACCACGCTTCAACAATGACACAAAAAGAGCCATTGTCTACATAATCCCCCCCACGGTGAACAGGTAGGAGGTTTGTAGTTGCCGTTGAGAGGGTGGGGGGCGCACCAGGACCTTTTCAGTGTTCTTACCCCAGACTGCAAGGGCAGACAGAGGAGTTAATGGGCAATGAAGTGGGAGGGCCGAGAATGGAGAAGGTCACCTTGAGTGGTTTTGCAGGGAATGCAGCAGCATTCGAGTGGAAACATTTTGAGTCAATGAGGCCTTTTGGAGTTGCGACCGATAAATGGGATGGCCACATCGGGGTCACGGTACAGAGTCCTCTGTGCGTTCGATCGTGTTGCAAGCGTGCGCACACAATCCCCGTTACACGATAACCAGACGGTAAACACGTTAATCGTTTTCACTTGTTGGCGCCGTCGTTGTTTTGTTACCGTGTTGCACACAGCTGGTTTAGATCGACCACCAAACTGTTTGCACAACCCAGAAAATAAAAATATGCAATTTAAACAACAAAATAACAAGCGCCAAGGTCAACTTAATAAGTGACGAGGCAAAAACGAGCTGCACTCATTGTTAATTGTTAAATTGACACTGCGTGCATGCTGGGAGCAATTGTGCCGCTCGGCCAATTGGAATCGAGTGGTGGGGGCCCTTTGGTGACATTTGACACTCTACCGAGGGGGCGGTGGTGGCAGAAGGTTGGCGATTGTATTCAGCGAGGGGGTGGTGGCAGACTGGAGGTGCAGAATTCTCTCCGCACAGCAACAGCATCGTCCTCACAACCAATATCCACCCAATGAGGGGCGAGCAAGTGACGTCACCTGGTAACGCACGTCTCTGCAGAATGAGGATGTGATGGGGGATGCTGTAGAGGGAGGCCCCTTGCCGTGGAGCCAATCCGATTGAAGGGGAGTGTGGCCTCTGCATTGGCGTCACGCCGTATGACTCCCCCCGACGAAATGTCACTCCTCCTCCGCCACCCCCCACCCACCCAACCCGCCCCAATTATATTTTCCGTGCACGTCCGCGCAATGTCCCCGATTGGCCCTTTCCGCCTCAAGCTCTTTTCATTCATTCATTTTGCTTTCTTGCTTGGCATTACGGCAAAAAAAAAGATGTTACCCCAATTCAGTATGACGTCTAACTCTCCCCAGCTGCAAATGTCAGCTGGGTTTCGGGTTGAACCAGCACCCTCCCTCAGTTTGCTGTATTCAAATGTAAGGTTTGATCATCAGCCATGGTCAATCGACTGCTGAATGAGGCCTCGAACAAGCAATCACCATTTCAAGATCCTGCAATGTATAATCCATCTCGCATCTGCCTACGAGCCGATTTAATGTCTCCATCTCTTTCGGGAAGGATTTTGTTTTTAAAGAGATCAAGTGTTACCATTTCTCATACCACAGCTGGGGTTGACGAATATTCAGATTTTTTTTATTTCGATTTAAAGCTTTCGTGACTGCAGGGAATATTCACAGCTTTAACACTTGCCTCAACCGGTTCCACAGCGATGCACGCGCAATTAAAAAATTGAAATGGTGGCGTAGGTTGCAATGGCAGACACATGTTGAATCATTGTCGGCAGTTGCAAAGAAAAACAAATAAATACATCTTAAAGGGAATTTTCACAAAATCGTGGGCTGAAAACCCCACTCCACCCACAAACAGAAGAGGGGCACAAATATATTAAAACTCATGGTATTTTTTTGTCGTCGGGGGGGGGGGGGGGTCACGACTTATTTCCAATTGCCGCAACCCCCTCCCCCGTCTGTCCGTCCCCCCAAACCGGCGGAACGTGAGTCACTGCAGATAAGCAGTAGAGGGATGTAGAAATGAGTCATTCCAACATTTTTTTTTATTTTTTTACCAGTGCAGGGAGCACACCCACGCTTTCACATCATTACATTCACAGCCCTTTCCATCAATCCACTGCTGGATGATGACGAGGGCTTGCCTGCCTGCCTGCGCCCGCTTTCATTTGCATCACGAGTGCGTCACTTGCAGACGAACGTGCAGAGAGGGCGCGAGAATTGACCCAAATTTCGGCCACGAATTAATGAGTCACCGTTGCAAATGTTCTATGGTGCCTGGGGGGCCCTTCGTGCCACGGCCAGTGCCACGTTTTGCACGTGGAAATCACCGCGTATTTTGCACGCACAACAGCCCCCCGCTTCGTGTCAATCCACTGCTGGATGACAGCGGACTTCCCACCGCGACCTCAGCACGCTGGGTCAGTCAGGGTTTGCTGGTGAATGTGGGTGGTAAAACCCATTGAAGTGGCGTACAAGGTGGGCAGTAAAAGATACATGTTCTGACAAACTTCACAAAATCATTTATTTTTTTACAAATACTTCTACGTCACGATGACACCTCTGGTGATGCACATTTTTTTTTTCTATTTTGACATTTAATTAATGCACTGCTACTTACAAACATGGTAAAAATGCAGCCTCTAAAATCCATTCATGGCAAAAAAGACAACAAAGGCTGATACAAAAATATATAAAAAAATGTCCAAACATATTAAATACTGCACGTAAAAAGTGCAAAATACACAACTTTATATAATCGCAGCAGCTGCTATTAGTATTTGACGACACGTTAATTGGTCGTTGACAGCTTTGAGATAACAAACAGACGGTGCCAAATTCCTCGCCCCTGCCAAAGGCGACCTTCCGGGCATTCCAAGGTCGCTGATCGGGGGGGGGGGGGGGGCGCCTTCTAGAATTACCGTCATCTTATTCACCACCATCTGACGAGAAAATAATCGATCGGGCAGCCTACGACACACGGGGGTTGCTCGTGCGTTCATTGAACTCACCCATTGATGCCGATGTTCACCATTTTGTAGCGGATGTCAGTGGATTGCGGACGAGATGGTTGTCTGACGGGAGCTGGGCGAAGCTGGCGACGTCTGGAAGCCGAAGAGCGAGCGACGAGAAGTCAGCTCGTCCGGTGCCCGCCTTTTATACGGCAGGGGGGCTTAACAAGTCACGCCCACCGCGCGCGCAGCCAATGAGACGCGCCCGTATAATATATGCAGGAGGTATTATATAATTTTATATTGACCGTATTAGGAAGCGAATAAATTATGTTAATGACCGGGTCTACACCTGCATTCCTTATATGGGCATTCCAACCGCTGCGAATCTGATTGGCCCGAAGCCGCCCGTGCGTGGTGAATAAAATTACGCCGTTCGCTCCTTTTTAGGACAGCGTTATGTTAATGAGCTATTCAAAAGACTGGGGCTATTGATGTATAGCCTTATATGGTAGTGCGCGTGACGCTGTTAAAATGACGCGTTGCATAAATTATGCTAATTACGCTGCACTGCTACGTGCCGAGAAGCACAACGCTTCCGCGATCGATTCTGCGCCGGGGGGAATATTGCGGCATGAATCGATTTACTTCTCATCAATGACTGGATCTCTCGTCGTCGTCGTCACCTTCAACGACGTTCCGACGCCAGCCCGTGATCGATCCACTGCTGGATGAGAGCCTCGTTATAAGGAAAATGCACCAATTTTTTTTTTTGTACAACATCAAAATCATTCAGCAGAAACTTCGCAATGCCACGGCTTTCATCAGTGGCGAGTGATAATATCTGAAGCCACGTGTTAAGGCCACTCCTCTTTAGCGTGTCCTCCACCCACTTACGCGTTCATCAACCCGCACTGACCAAACGTGGTGAAGTATGGTCACAACCCCAGTGACTTTAACGGTGTAAGGTAGTCCCATCCGTGAGCGGTGGATTAACCAACAACAACAACAAAATCCCACCGTAAATGCGTGGGATTTTCTGCATATTTTACGTGGATATTCCATCTGAAACTCAAGTTTCCACGTTGTCAATAATGCACGACTCTCGTTGACCTTGTGGCTACTACTGCACGTCTCGTAATGCGCCCACGGGAAGAGGGCATTTAGAGCTAATGCACCGTCTGGCACGCACGGTGTGCTGACAGAGTGATGTTAGCGAGCACCTATTGAAGGCTGACACTGCATTTGTACTGCATAAAGAGTGCCTTGAAAGGGGGTTGGGATGGGAATGCCGAGGTGGATGTTGGAAATTTATCTCAGAGAATAATAATAATAAAAGCAGGACAATATATCTTGATTTGAAGCTTTCGTGACTGCAGGAATCCATACCAAACAGGACAATATATTTTGACCTTCGTGTAAAGGCCATGTGAGTCTGTTGGTCTCTGGATCATGTAAGTGCATGCTAGTTTATGGATCTATGGATGTCTATGTATGGGTCTCAATGGAAGTCTATTCGTCTCTTTGTAAGTCTACAGTTAATATAACTTAATGTGAGGCTATGATTCTCTCTAAGTCTATGGAATATGTAATTGAATGTAAGTCTATGGGTCTCTATGGAAGGCTATGGGTCTCTATGTAAGTCTCTGGGTCTCTATGTAAGGCTATGGGTCTATATTTAAGTATATGGGTCTCTATGGAAGGATAGTGGACGCTGCTCTAGAAGAGGCACAGGATAAGAGGACATGGAGGGAATCCGAGCAGCCGACCCCATCCAATCGGGGGATTGCAGTTGGAAGATTCACGAATCTTTCCGTGATCCACCAACACTCGCCCGCCAAATCGCAAGATTACAGGGTTACGCCGCCACGCCCGGCAGTGGAATGTATTTGCAAAACCGAGCCAGACAAAGTCTCCCACTGTCTACAATCAGCCTCGTCTTTTAGACTTCGTTGTGGAATTGGTAGTGAACACCTGCGTACGACACACGCTTCTTTGCACCCTCATAATCAGCCGTTGTTCCACGTTGTCAATGCTCATCGTTGGCATCCATATATCGTGGCAGATGAATATAATGTAGGGGTGGAAGATGGCAGCATTCAGGCGGACCACTCACTCTGTTCAGTGAGAAATCACTACGAATGTTATCAACGCGGCCACTGAAAACCGAGCATCGATCTCCCGGTCTCCAGATAAACAACACAATGTAATCAATACTGATTTGTTATATTTTTTTTATTAAAGGCACAAATAATAATAATAACAAACTCAACTCATTACTCATTAACATTGTCTTGAAGAGAAAAAGTATTAAATCGGTGACAGAGGGAAAGTCTAAACTGTACGCTGAGTCTCGATTGGCTCTGATTAAGGACCATGTACCGAAACGTTAACTGAGAGACAGGCAGAGGAACACATGGATTTGAGATCGGAGCCAAGTTTGATCCATCATACCGTTAGCACACTAAGTTTGCAATCACAAGGTCGCTAGTTCGATTCCATCTCACAGCTCGGTGGTTTGAACTTCTTTCTAACCGTACATAGCCAACCTTTGGAGGTGGGGGGGGAAGGACAACAAATGAAACACAAAAAGCAGTTCTAAAGAAAGGAGTTTTTAATTTGTATTGAAATCTTGACTTAAAGCTTTCGTTACTGCAGGAATTAATATTCTTTGGGTCTTTCGGTAAAGTCACATAGATAGGTTCAAAGAGATAGGTTCAAACAGAACCTATATTCTTAGGTTTTTTCGGTAAAGTCACGTAGGTAAAACATCAAAATTAATAAAAAATAAAATAAAATGATCTTTATTTTATTTTATTTTTATTAATTTTGATGTTTTACTTACGTGACTTTACCGAAAAAACCTAAGAATATGAATCATTGCAGTCACGACAGCTTCAAATCTAGAATCAAAGAGAACCTGTCTACGTGACTTTACCGAAAGACCCAAAGAATATTTGTATTTAAGTTTATAATTTGTATTTAAAAGTGCATAGCTCCAGTTGCTTCCTAATAGCGGAAGAAAGAGCGTTCCAGACGGCCGCAGAAGGGTATCTAAAAGCACGCGTTGCAGTGACTATCTTTGTTCGATGGTTAGCCAGAAGCCGCTGCGAGGATAACCGCAGTTTGCATGATGGTTTATGCTCCTTAACGAGCTCAGGAATTGTGGTTTGTTTGTGGCAAGCACTTTGTGTGTTAAAAGCACGACTTTTTAAACTTTGACCGTTTACACCCATACCAACCTTCCACTGAAAAGGATCACTGGTTCCTGATGTTGTGAAAACGCTTACCGGTTTTAGTGGTTGTCGTTTAGCAACCCCAGTCTGGTAACCGTGTCTCAACACTGCCCAGCAACATCACTACTACTTGCAAGGCAGTCCCAGTTTCATACAACTGGGTACAGCAACTGTTGAGTACAACAACTGCTGTGGCATTGGATTGTGTGCTCCAGGCATAGGCTTGTGACTTTCAGTTATTTGAGTGGCAGTTTTTACACTTTTTTTCATATTGCTTTACAATGTAAATGTTTATATATGCACGTATATTTGTAATCTAATTAATTAAATTGGCAATATGCTACACACAGTAAATTGAGAGCAGGGTTTCCCCTTTTTTCTGGCAACAAAACAGTTGTGTTAAGATGTTAAAACACCAAACTGAAACCTTTTACAAGGAATCATGTTTGCATCAACCACAATACTTGTGGTCAGAATGCAAATAAAAAAGTACTCTGATAATATATGCAATCTTTGAAACTGATTGGTCCACACTGGAGCAGAATTATTTTGAGCCGAGTCTCAGGGGACATCCTCTGGTCTAACACCGTTTTGAGACTAGGCTAGTACGTTTTTTGTTTGCATTCTGACCAGAAGTATTGTGGTTAATGCAGACATGATTCCTTGTAAAAGGTTTCAGTTTGGTGTTTTAACATCTTAACACAACTGTTTTGTTGCCAGAAAAGAGGGGGAAAACCTATTCTCATATTTTGGTACTGGCAAAGGAGGTCCCATGACACAGTAAATTGGCTACATTTTGGTATTCATAGAAATAATGGAATTTTGATACAAAAACTGATATACCGGTGTAACAGGCTAAAATAACCCCTGCCCCGATTAAACCCGGGTATAGTTTGGCCCAGGCCAGAGTATACCCGTGGGGGATAAAGTGTCCTCGGCTAAACTATACCCCCCGGGGGTTTAAGCTCGACTGGGCCAGACCATACCCCTCCAGGCCAGAATATGCTCCATATGAAAGTTCAAACGAACTTCAATCGATATCTAAAAAGCGTATAAATGGAAGTAAGAATTTGATCAATGGAAGCATTTTTAAATCCTTTATATTAAGTTCACTTGCTTGCTTGCGTGCTTGCTTGCTTGCTTACGACCGTGCAAATCTTTTGGTCGTTTTTTAACCAACTTCCCGTGATCCAATCGAGCTGACATTTTCCACACAGACTCGTTGTGCCAGACAATTAATGTTCGTGAAAAAAAATTCCCCAAATTTGACACTTTTTAGGCAAAAAAAAATTATTTTACATATATTCAAATAGAACTCATTCATGGCTTTGGCTGAACGTCACAGTATAAGAGCCCAGAGCGTAACCCCTCCACAGGCCGTGGCGGAGTAGCGCAGTTGGTAGTGCCCTCGCTTCCCATGCCAAAGGTCGCGGGATCGATCCCCGCGTCCTCCACAGGCGAATATATTTTTTAATCCTTTATATTAAGTTCGCTGCCACGCATATAAAGGATTTATAGTGAAAAACTTTGTTTTTACGGGTTATACTTATTATGGTCAGGGATAGGGATAAGGTTAGGGATAGGGTTAGGGATAGGGTTCGGGTTATTATTATCAAAGTTTTTCTGGTTGAAGCAATCAAAGTCTATGTGTTTACAGTTTTAAATAAAATGTTGGAAAAATTAAGTAATTCATGTGTATATCGCTCAACACTATTACTATCATGGGGGTATGATTTGGCCTAAAGGGGTATAATTTGGCCTTGGCCATAATATACCCCAGAATATAAATTGGCCTAGGCCATAATATACCCGGGTATAATCTAGCCTCGGCCGTTTTAACCCCGGGTATACTACGGCCTGGGGGTATACTACGGCCTTGTTACACCGGGATCACCTCACCATTGAGTTCGCTGGGTATTTCGAGGACAGTGAATCTGAGCCCATCCAGACTGAGTCCCAGTGTGCGCTGTACAAACCTAGGAAACATGCAATGTTGGGCTAACGTTGGCATGCAATTGGAACCGTTGGAGCAACGTTGGCCCAACGTTTAATGTTTACTCAGAAGATGTGGGCATCAATGAGCAGCAAAAAGGTGTGGAACCACGATGGGATTGGTTGGGTGAGTTCCATGAGCCCTGTACGAGAATGCACCTGGCGGGCCCCAGGAAGGGCACTTCGGATCTGCAGGTGTTTGTAGAAACGTGAGAAATCCTGTCGTGTAATTACAAATCAGTCACTCCCGTTCTGGAGCAGTGGAACTTTACCGTCTGGCGTAAACGGGTTCTTAAATGTCACATTCACCAGTATTCACCCCACGAAAAACAATTATTGCCCACACCACCAACACAGAGGGAGGGATTACACGAAATTACTGAGGTCACTCGAAGGTACATAGCAGTGCCCGTGGGCTGCTGTAGGGAACGCTATGCCCAAAGGGCACATGCCACCGACCACTCGGATGGAAACAATTTGTGTTGATCTTTATGGTGGGACCGTATCAAGCCTTCTTGGGACCACGCAAAGGTCAGTTCTTCTTTTCACAATTTACAAGTGGACTAGCTGCCACTAGCTAGCCAGGACGGAATCGCGAATGCCACCATGTAATCCACTGCTGTATGAGGGACTTCCCACTACGTGTGGGTCGTGGGGAAGGCCACTATATCCAGGTAATATTTATAGAAGTCAGGGAGAGATAGGTCTCCTGTAACATTGGGGGGAAGTCAGAGAAGCATAATCTATCCTAGGGATGCCATGCTGCCAGAGGAAGGATGATACTTTATTGAAGAGAAACTTTGGGATCTGGGTTGAGATCATTGTAAACAGACAGAACCTGCAGGAGTATAATTTTTTGCATGAAATTCAGCCGGCTAGCGAATGGGAATGAGGATCAGGTTCCAAAGGTTTTAGAGAGGACTGAATCTCTATCAAAAGTGAGGGGAAATTGATCTGTGAAGCCTGTTTGGCATGAGGAACCCAACACGTTTTAGATTATGCTGGATTCCAGGCAGAAGGACATCAGTCTGGATTCAATTGACTCAACTGAATTTGCACTGAGATTGGGTTTTTATTGTCCCGCGTCATCCGTGTAAAGGTCAATTTTTGCTTACTACCCGATGGAGCTCAAACAGTTTGTATTTTGAAGTTGAATTAATTTGTGAAGTCTTACACCGTCTGAGCGATGAACAAGGGACATTCACCGCAGAGATGGAGCGATGACATCAGCTCGTGCACAGGACCTCGATGGGATTTTGCATTGTGAGGGATTGCAACGGCTTGTGGAGGCGTTCATCCAGCAGTGGACAGATCAAGGCTCATGATCACGATGACGAACTCACAACACACTAAGCCGTCCGCTGTACATCGCCATCCTGGGATTGACTAAGTGCAGTGCTGTCACCAGAGCAAGCAAAACTTTTCCAGCCAATAAAGACCACCCAATTTAAAACGTGCTTATGTTCATGACGACGATAATAATGCCATTTACCCATAAAAGCCTGACCGAGTCTCAACTCTTATCAAGAGGGTCCTGCAAGATGTTCGGACATCTCCATTGAATGTTTGGCTCGTACCCAGAGAAGATTGACCCGTACGAGGGGGGTAACACTCAAAGTTCTGTACTGATTTATTCAAGAATCCATTAATTTATTTTACCAGGTAAGGCCCACTGAGCTATATAGTTATTTTTTAGAAGTGACCTGGCCACAAATGAAAGCTTAACGAAGTGGCTTATCATGTAGAAATTTATAGCAGCCAAATACTGGACTCTTAATCACATGTTTTTTTACATGTGGAGGGAAAATCCACGCGATCACGGGGAGAGACATAGAGAGACACGCAAACCCCAAGCATACAGCAGGAGTCAGGGTCGGGATTGAACCCAAGACCTCCTGTATACCAGGCGAGGTAGTTAACGTCTCACCATATGACAGCCACCACCCAGCCCCAGGCAAGTAATGACCATATACAGACCCTGCTTTGCTTCCGAGATCTGCGGTGATAGGGTCCACTCAAGGTGATATGGTCGTATATGTTTATATTGACATGCTGTACGTATGAAGAGTTGTTTCAAAAACAGAGGCCAAACCCAGGCCGGTTTTACCGCATTCTACAGGGTGATCCAGTTTTCCGGTCACCCCAAAAGAATTGACCCCGAACATGTTTTTCCCTTTGCATATTCATTTGTTACAAATAAATATTACTTATTTATTTCAGGTGGCTGATTCGAGTTCATATGCTATTGAAGAACGGCTCCTCGTGAGCGTATTGGGCTCATGAAAGATAACAAACCAGAACAATAAACGATGAAAAATGATCAAAAGGATTTCTGTGAAATATTTAAGCTCCAGAAAAAATGGAAAATACTGAGACGGGAACATAAGCTGTTTTACACAGGATCAGTGTTGGTCAACAACAAAAAACAGGACTGGGAGACACCTTCAAAGCGAGCCGATGCGCAGCGTTTGTGGAATAAATTAAATTAGAGGTCACAAGACATCTGGACCTCCCTGTACAGTACATCAGTAATTGTTTAGGTCCGCTCACGTGAGTGCGTCCTCTGCCGGTCACACTGAGAATATTACATTTTAAAAAATTAACCCGTAAAAACAAAGTTTCTCACTCTAAATCCTTTATATGCGTGGCGGCTAGAGTCCTCTCGTCCTCTGGCTTGAGATGGCTGCCACCTATGGGTCAGATGATTGTCTGCCACCATTAAGCAATTGGTAATTAAATATTTTAAAAAAATTCCCTAAACAGTGTAAAATTTAGGAAAAAATTTTTCACGAAAATTGTCACGCACAACGAGTCTGTGTGCAAAATGTCAGCTCGATTGGATCACGGGAAGTGGGTTAAAAAACGACCGAAAGATTTGCACGGTCGTAAGCAAGCAAGCAAGCACGCAAGCACGCAAGCAAGCAAGCAAGTGAATTTAATATAAAGGATTTAAAAATATATAACGATCACCCGCTGGCCCATCATCAGTGCGGATAAAGAGTGAGTGGATGCTGTGCAGAGAGAGGCGCGTTACGAGTTGGGAAATTATAATCACAGGCATCCCCCGATTTACGAAAGGGATGCGTTCTTCAAACAATGCGCATGCAACGAAATTTCGTAAACTGGAATGGCTTTTTTTCCAATGATTTAATACAAAAAAAAATCAGGGGATGTGTTTGGGACAGTTATTACAACTCTACGCCTAACCTAAAAATATACACCAATACAACTTTTTACAAATAAAACAATAAATGACGTAAATATTAAAGCGATTGAATGATGATTTAAAACGAAAATATTTCACCTTTTAAGGAAAACGATCGGCTGCATGTTGGAACGACTGCCAAGGGCGATGTGGAGGGCTCACTGCTGCACTGCAGGGATGGATGACGCTGCCTTCCAGAGTGGCTTCTCGTCTCATCTCGTGGCGCGTGCCATCTGAAACGTCGTTCACGCCGACATTCGATTCCATTAATCGAAAAAGTGTCCGTAATTTTGTCAATTGCGTGAACGCCAAATTTTGTCAACCGAACGTCCGTGCATCGAGGAGTATCTGCATCATTACTTTCGAGATCTGTCACTTCTACGATGGCCACCAATCTGACCTCTGGGTGGCTGGAGCAGCGCGTTTCGTCACCGCCACCCCCACACATCAGCATCTCGTATTCCCCAAACGCAGCCGACAAACAAAACAACACGCGGCAAGGCGTTTGGCAACAAATAACGTTTAATAACAGATTTGCCCAAATAAAACGTAACTTTCTGTACATACCGATGAGTGGCTGCAGACCTGGACAAACCAGGGTGTGCACACGCACCCTGGACCTCCCCCCACCCAGGTCCTACAAACCCGCACCCAAACTCACAGCGCCACGACCTCCGTTTAATATGGCTGGGGCATTAAACAGCCTTTTAGTAAGCTCGCCGACCGACCGCCAACACCATCGTCGTCATCGTAGGTACGCTCTTCACTGAGAACAGGCAAGAGTCGTATCAACGTGAAGTCGGGTTGGCTTAACGACGACGCGTTAAAGAAGAAAACCCCGACGGCGATCGTGCGATTTCACGACGACGATGGCAGCAGTAGCAGCAGCAGCAGCCGGTGTTTAGTGACGGATTGTTGCGAATGGGTCAAACCCTCTGGCTGTCCATGCCGTCTCCCCGCTCCGTGCAGAAACGTGTAGAGGGCACGGAATAACGGGGAGGGGGCTCGGAGAGGAAAATCATGAGGATGATGAAGTGAAAAAAAGGCTGTGCCCTTCTGGGAGGGGGCCCTTCCTCCGGATTGAATCTTGAAGCTGAACGTTCCCAAAACTGAGCCGAGGGAGGCCACCCTCTTCAGAACAGTTCTTGGCTCGTAAGGAAATCATCAAAGCGCGCGATGCCTCGTCGCTGAAAGCGTGGCCCATGCAGTGTCCCATGAGCCATGACGTCGGCGTCTCTTCACCGAAGCACGGACACCGTCGAAAAAGTACAGCACGCTTCCGTGGAAATAAACGATGAAATCGCGCCAACGCAAACAACTTTAAGCCGATGCATATCAAGCCACTGAACATTAGCGGGCAACGTGCACCGAAGACAATTCAAAGGATAGAGCGCGTCACTTAAGAGAATCAAAAATCATGAGAAAGGCAAGAGGCGGCGGGGTTTTAAACGCGGCGCGCGTTCCCCGTGTCTCATGCGGCGACTTTCTTCACGGTCACCGCACGGGAAGCGTCGCAGGGAATCCGCTGCGAAGCCACCACCACCATCACCACCACCGCCACCACCACCACCGCCGCTGCCGCTACTGCAGCCACCTGCTTCAGTCCGTGGGCTAAAGCAGAAGTCAGTGTCGGCCGAGGTGCAAAACTCTTAGTGGTTGAGAATATCCTTGACTTTCTCTTTGGTTTTTTCGGTAAAGTCACGTAACCTACGTGACTTTAGCGAAAGAACCAAGAAGATGAATCCCTGCAGTCACGAAAGCTTTAAATCGAAAAAGTCACGTAGGTTAAAAGAAAACAAATACATTTAATCACGACGTTTCGGAGGCAACACTTGAAACAGCAATTTTGCTGTGACGGTTTCACCTGAAGACGGAAGCTTGTGTTGCCTCCGAAACGTCGTGATTTAATTTATGTGTTTTCTTTTAACCTAAGTGACTTTACCGAAAAAAACAAAGAGTATGAATCCTTGCAGTCACGAAAGCTTCAAATCTAGAATCCTTGACTTTGTTTTGGTCTTTCCCATCCACCTCACCAACAAATTCAATTCCACTTGTGCAATTGGCATCGTGTCATGAGAAATAATCATAGCGATGGGAAACTCTCGCAAAGCAATGCATCACCCCACGTGGTAAAGAATGGCCTGTGGAAGCAGATTTCACAGCACTACATCGGAGATCCTTTCATGCGGTCGTTAATGCACACACAGTGCAGGGATTCCACATGCCCTTGTATAATTATCAAACGACATTCAAACCAATGTTTTTTTTATTCTCAGACCTGGATTTCAGCCAAATTAAGTAACAAATAATAATTTTATATCATGGGTGGTTTTTTTGTGTGCAGCCATTGGTGACTGGACTGAGACCATCGATTTACTCCACCTAAGAACCCGGTTTAAACGTGGGTGGACGAATCATGGATTTGAATCAAGGATCCCAGGAGTGTCCACTTCGAGTTCTGAGCCCTGAGCCACTCGAAACATGGGTGAGTTGAAATGAATTATGATCTAACCCAATTATTTGACGAAATAAATTGCTACCATTACAGTTGTGCATGGGTGGAGCAGTGGCGTGGTGTTTTGTGACATGACCTCGATGACTGGAAATCGGCTCAGGGCCACGACGAACATCAGTGCAGAGTGATATCTAACCGGCGTGATGAAGCATGTTCAAATGACCCCGATGACTGGTACGGTGAGCTAACGTTTCAGTTTTGGCACCTCGAGTGGTGCCGACACGCCAGACATCTGCCCCGGGCCCATGACAACCCATTTCACTGCAACTCTCGCGTGTGGCGCCTTGTCCACACCTTCAGGTTTGGCCACGTATGGCCTTTGTAAACGATCGTGGCCCACCCAGCAACGCGGCCTGCCAGCAACGTGGCCAGCCGGCAGAGAGAGCCCTTGGCGATGACTCAACTCCCTGAGGATGCATCACGGCAACGTCGCTCCGCCTGGTCTCTGTGTCATAAAGACTCGGCCGAAAAACGAAAAACGAACTTCTCTGACACACCCTTTCTACAGTTTGCCGGCCTCACATTTGGCCTCGGTCTCACGTGAGAAACGGACCCCAAACTCAAGCGGCACCCAGAAAAGAGCCTCACTGAGGCTCACGAGTCTCTCTCTCTCTATATTGGGACCTCTTTTGCGATGCTCGGCCAAATATTGTAAAAGTAACATATCGTGGGTTTTTTTTTTTTGCAAGCGGAGGGAATCTGGAATAACCAGAAAATAAAACTCTACGCATACGAGGAGAAAACAACCAAACTCCGTTACACAGGTTGATTCTGCTTGCTGTACCGTACTGCCCCGTACAGCGGGAAGCTTGTATGTTGCCTGCTGGAAAACGATGCCCGTTTAATTGAACACGCACGCGTGAATCACAGCGGCCGTCGCCCGGCAGACTGAACGGGCGATCGCGCGCCTCCCTATGCAGCTATTGCGCGTGATGAGGGCGAGATTGTCAGTGGTGGCGAGTTGTAAAAACTACCTCGCCTGGTATACAGCGAGGCCGCGGGTTCGATCCCGACCCCCATGATGCTTGTGTATCTGGAGTTTGCATGTACTTCCCGTGATTGAGTGGATTTTCCTCCGTTTTTTTCCTCCACATTTATAAATATGCGTTTGAGTTTTTGGCAGCTAAAAATAGCCACGTGATAAGCCACTTCATTGCGCTATCATTTGTGGCCAGGTTGCTTCTGAAAAAGAGCTGTATAGTTCAGTTAGTTAGTTAAAATAGTTAGTTTACTCATCTGTACAACAGAAGTCATGTTCATAAAAAAAACGTCTATGCAGTGTAAGTCAAGACAATGCATGATGGGCTGAGAGGGCATGCGGTTCCAAGAGTAGAGGTTTGATCAGGAAAGGAACGTAATTTACTTATGTTTTTTACTTGAAGGCTTTTGGTTGGGGAGAGATAAAATATTTCCCGTGAGCCATGAAAGCCGCACAGGGCGTCAATGCTCTTTCACGAGGCTCGTTGCAGTTGGCATGTTAAGCCAAATTTCATGAGCGTATTGCTTCGTGCGGAACGGAAACCGGAGAAACCCGGAGAACATCCACACAAATATGGGGATAACACAAAAAGCTTCCACACGGATGGAATCAAGAACCAACTTGCTAATAATACTTTCATCCCGTGGCCACCTCGCAGCCCAGCGAGCCGTTTGAGAGTCTCACGCGTGTGCATGACCCCTCTCACCCTCGTCCCCAAAGTGCAAAAACCACAATGTGGCAAAGAAGAGACCGCAAAGTCAGATAGCAGGAATCAGTCCGTTATATGCAGAGGAGAAACGTCTTTAAAATGTTGATTTGTACAACGGGGGGAGGGGGAGGGATGGCCAGGGAGTCTTCATTTCAAACCGGTGATCCTTCCTCTGTATTCGCCAGACCGGCGATATTTTCTCTGCATTTGCCCTCGTCCAGCGGCGGACTGACACAAAGATGGATGGGGGTTGTGTGTGTGTGTGCGTGTTTTCGCGAGCCGAGACAGCAGTCGCGTCCGAGCGGAGGGCGATCCGTGACACGGCATCCGGCGAAATCACTTCCTTTTGCCGCTCCCTCCTGTTGGAATACAAGCACGAGGTCAGGTGACGGAGGCTCGAGTAGCAACTGAGACCACGGGGAGTCGTAGCCGATGTGTCCGCCCACAGGGGCCATGCCTCTGCTGCGCTGTTGCCGTCACCAGGACCATTGGGTGAATGAAGGACCGACCGACCGATTGGGCAACCGATGCTTGAGGCTCGCCGTGTCCTCCCAGTGACATTGGGGGCATTGGGACGACCGTGGCGGCTCTCTGTGGCAGTCGCCACGTGCGCCACGTGCATTTGGACCTCTCGCCTTGCGGGCGATCGTTTTTACACGAAGTTTTTTTTCGTACGATTTTGTTCATTTCCTAACCCCCCACGTATATACACGACCCCCACCGATGTTTTCATTTTCACTCGTCAGTAAGGCAAAGTCTTGAGCCAGCATGCAGCAATATAACACGAATATTTGTGTGTGTGTGTATATATATCGCGCGCTGTGCTCGCTAACAGCACTTGCCCCATAAGTCTGTTAAGGCTATACGGGGGATTTTTGTATGTGTGTGTGTGTGTGTCTGTACACACTTTTGTGTACGACTGCATGTACGATTGTGTGTGTGTGTGTTCGAGCGCCACGCGTGTGCGGACACGTGCACGCCAATGCCGGTGCGCGCATTGTGCAGTCACACCCCGATTCACGTCTTTCCCCTTTTCGTCGTTTCGCAAACACGTCGTCGTCTTCGTCATCGCCACTTTTATTAATACCACGACCCGATTTGCGTCGTCTCAACCTCCACATTTACGTCGCTGACAGCATCGTCCGTCATTCCTCGTTATCCGTCGCCTCTCAGCATTCGCCTCCACCACCACCTCTCCTGTGAAATCGCTTTGATTTTACGTCGTTTCGATATTCGTCGTCGCACCTTTCAGGAACGCATCCCCGACGTAAACCGGGGTATTACTGTCGTTGTATTACGCTTGTTGTTCTGGTCTCCTCCCACCAGGTTCCTAGTCAATCTGATAGCAAACTGCGGCATTAAATTCTGAATTCTCCTATAGGCAGCAGACCGTCCTCTTCACTGGAGAACGATGTCAGAGGACGGGTGAGAGTGACAACAACCCAAACTATTTACAAACTAAACTAAAACACATGCGATCACTGCTGGCGGCTCTACAGGGGACCTCTCTGTCTAGACGGCGCCTTGTGCCGAATTAGAACACTGCCCGCAAAATTACTCGGCAGGGATCATAACGCAGCAGCAGCAGCAGCAATCATCGCCAGCAAGCAATCATCGCCACCCCCGTACTGGTAGATGGAATGGCCCAGGTCACCGTTGCAGATGAGGCTGTATCCAGGTTTGTTTGCGTTCTCACCTGGTCAAACAAATTAACCAAATTTTCTCGGGAGGTTTTACCACGTGACCATCAATCCTCACGTCTGCATGAGACCAATGCAAGTGTAAAACAAAACAAAAACTACGCTTGTTTCGCGTCAGTCATCGGTGACTGGGCTGGCACTGCACGTTAGAACGTGGATTTTGGTTCGTGTGGGTTATCAAACCTGCAAGTTGAACACAGGTCCTGAGTAATTACGGATCAGTGGCAGAGCGTTACATGTACAATAATGTTGGTCTCATCCCCGGTGCACTATCGGCCTCGCGCCATAAAGAATCCAATTAAAAATATCACGGTGGGGGAGTAGGGGGAGAGGAGGAGGAAGTGTGACCCCCACGTGCCCCGAAGCACGGCAGCCGCGCAGGAGTTTTCCCCAGAAATATACACGCGCGCATGACCGTCAGCACCAATGTTTCAATTCTCAAGAGCTGGAATTTTGCCTAAATTAAGTGCAAACCCAACATATGCAGTCCATGGGTGACAGGTCTAAGACCACCAGGTTAGCCACGGGTGGCCGCCCCGATTCAAACCCAGGGTCTCAGTGGTGCTGGCTAATTGCTCTGACCTCTGACCCACCCGGATACAACAGCGGTGTTTTTTTTACATTTGTATTACTGAATGGCGGAATTGGTGGAGCAGCAATTATCGCACACTGCGCTATGAACCTGTGACATCAGTTTGATTCCTCGCCATGGCTAACATTGGTGGCGAGTAATATCTCGACCAGTCCTGGGCCTCCCACCTTCACCAACATGTACTGACCAGCGTGGTGAAGTATAGTCAAACTACGCCTATGACCGAAAGAGCATGGGGAGGCCTTCATCCAGAAGTGAATTAACATTAGACTGTAAATTATTATTAGTACAATACTACCCCTATTCACGTCTACTCCTTTCACGTCGTTTTGCAAATACGTCGTCACTTTATTAACAGCGTTTCCCGATTTGCGTCACCTCAACCCCCACACTTACGTCGCTGACAGTATCGTCCGTCCTTTCTCGTTATCCGTCGCCTCTCAGCCCTCGCCTCCACCACCACCTCCCCTGTAAATCGCTTTCATTTTACGTCGTTTCGATATTCGTAGTCGCACCTTTCAGGAACGCATCCCCGACGTAAAACCGGGGCATCACTAGATTACTACTCTGGCAGGAAAGTCACAAGACAAAGGCTCGATGATACCACAAAACCTCTTCTGGAGTCACTTCACACGGCCGCTCACCTCACAGCAGATGGCGCACGCGCCCGCAAACAGCAAATTTCTCCGCATCATTCGAATGTAGAGATGCCCGAAATCCACCAAAAACAAAACAACAACGCGAGCCCGGTGAGCCACGGAGCACCACGAGCCTCCCGGTCACTTGCTCAGTACGCGCGTGCGTGCACGGACGCGCGCGTGCGTGTGTGTGGGGGGGGGGGTTGCACGAAGGTAGTGCACGTGCGCATGAGTGTCTGTGCACGTGTGCGTGTGCACACGCATCGGTGCAAGTGTTTAGCGTTTAACAAACGCGCCCACACGCACGCACCCATGCAGTACATGCAGCTTGCACACATGCATCACGCGCTAGTCTACGCCTGAACGTGCGTGCGCGTGTGTACATGCGCATGCGCGCGTGCGCGCGGCCAGAGGTGATCGCCGCGTGACCCCGACCGCCCTATGTCGGCGCCACCTCCGCCTTCAAATCTGGCAAGAGCACCGCACCCGGCGAATTTCGGTAACCCCACGGCGCCCCGAGCTGACGCTGCCGCCCGTCATCCTCCTCTTCCTCCTCCTCCTCTTCCTCCTCGCCCTCCAATTCACCCTCCTCGTCCTCCCGCTCCTCCCGCTCCTCCTCCTCTCCCGAAGGCAGGAGCGTCCCCGCGGGAACGCCGGCGCGCCCGTCCTCGTTCCTGACAAACGTCTGCAGGGGGAGACACTCGGGGGCGGCGAGGAGGCCCGGGGCGAGGTCCGGCAAGCGCTGCCGCTCGACGGAGGCGAAGCCGTCGGCGAAGCCGCGGCACACGAGCGTCTCGAGCGTCTCGAGCGCGACGCCGTCGGGGGAGAAGAGCACGCCTTGAACGCTCTCCGGCGAGAGCACCGGTGGTGTGCGCGCCGCCGCCAGCCGGCGCAGACGCGCCTGCAGCACTTCGGACAGCGACACGGAGGACGGGAAGCGCTCCAGGTCGCAGTCTGCGGGTGGAAGAAACGGGCGCGCCGGTGAACGGGCGCGCTGATGGATGGGTGCGCGGCCACCCCCCCCCCCCCCCCACTCTGAATTGCTCCCCTCTCCCAGCCCATTTCTTCCCTCTTCCCTGATAGCTTAGTCCAGTCATGGCTTCTTCCCTTCCTCCCTTGCCTGCCCGGCGCTCCTTGTTTCCTGCTGCTGCTGATCGTGAACCGTGCCCCCTCTTTATCCTGACTCCCCCCCCCCCTCCTACTGTGGTGTGCCAAAGGGGTAATAGTTTTTTTTTTACACATTCATAAAATCAAACATGTAGATACATTTAAACAGATGCAAAGCCATGCAGAAGCATGGAAACGTAGAAGCACAGACACTCGGATGCAAACACACCAAGCCATATGCAGCCTAATGGATATTTAAAAATAAACAACGGTCTCCGTTTGGAAGAAAGAAGCCTCTGATTGGTCGGGAGGCAGACTTTAAAGGGACAAGAAGGTTCGAGAGAGGAGCGTGAGGGAGATGTAAGTGGAGAGCACGAGGAGTGGGGACGCTCGGAGGAAGATACAAGCAGGAAGACAGGAACGAGCCGAGGGTCCCTCATTGTGGAACTCGTTAGTAGTGTCCCTTACACCTCATTTGCCAGTAAAAAATATGATAATTGTTTTTTTACCCTTTTATCTAGCAACAAAACTGACACCTTTTTTTTACAAGGAGTCATGTTTGCATAGACCACAATACCTGCAGTCATAATGCAAACAAACTTTAAATGAAAAGTTGCTTCCTCATTTCTTTGCCATCCGAGTCGTTACACTATTATAATTTCACGTGCGGAAACACAAATGCCTCCCGAGAAATTTCCCAAACAGCAAAATCACAACTAGCAAAAAAAACACAAGTTAAAATCGCTCCTTATCTGGAGGTGGGTAGGGTCCCAAATTGAATGCAGACAGCTGTCACACAATTACGCAGTACCATCGTGGCTGCAGTACTTGAAACAGTTTTAGACTCTACCTGTGGATTTATAGACAAGACGGGAATATGCTTGGCCGCGTTATTGAGTTATCAAGTGCCCTTGACCCTTCAGCCCTCCCTTTGATATTCCTTCTGTATCCTTGACTCTTGAAAAACAATTTTAAAAATGCTTTTTGTGTTTAAAAAAAAAGCCATTGACACAATAGGCCATCGCAGCCTAATCTCAAGACTGAAAGACTGTGGCGTTAGCGATAAGGGCACTTCGCATGGCTGATTCTCACATTATATTCACCTCCTACGCATTTTCCATATGCTGAATTCCTCTTGATATGCAAATTATTTTGTTTAGGCGCTCTTCTTCCCACCTCCCCCCCTCTAACCCAGCTTAAATATACGCTCCAAGCTTGGTGGTGCTTCATTCTTCGCCTGAGGACGGCTGCTTGCGTTGTGGCCGAAACGTCGTGAGAATTGTTTTATTATGTTTTATTTTTATTATTTTATTACTTCCCTTCTACGTGACTTTACCGAAAGAACCAAGAAGAAGGGGAAGAAAACGGTGCACAGTTGTTAAAATAATGCATTCAACTCGTTCCTGGTTTACTAACAACAACTCACTCACCCACTCACTCACTCACACTGCAGGTCACATCGACTCACTCACCCACTCACACTGCAGGTCACAACAACTCACTCACCCACTCACTCACCACACTGCAGGTCACATCAACTCCCTCACCCACTCACTTACCACACTGCAGGTCACATCAACTCACTCACCCACTCACTCGCCACACTGCAGGTCACAACAACTCACTCACCCACTCACTCACCACACTGCAGGTCACATCAACTCCCTCACCCACTCACTTACCACACTGCAGGTCACATCAACTCACTCACCCACTCACTCGCCACACTGCAGGTCACATCGACTCACTCACCCACTCACTCACACTGCAGGTCACAACAACTCACTCACTCACCCACTCACTCACATTGCAGGTCACATCAACTCACTCACCCACTCACTTACCACACTGCAGGTCACATCAACTCCCTCACCCACTCACTCACCACACTGCAGGTCACATCAACTCACTCACCCACTCACTCACTCATACTGCAAGTCACAACAACTCACTCACCCACTCACTCGCCACACTGCAGGTCACTTTTTCTTCTTCCCTCGCACCGTTTCCACTTAGTTTTGCTCTCTGATCGTCGTCACTTATCTCAAGCTCCTACAGTGAAAACCTTTCTCAATTCAGGAAATGCGTTAACTCTGACCAATTACAGCTTTTGGTAGTGCTGTTCGTTGCCTGCCGCTTAACTCTTTTGGACCTTTAGTCGGGCCTGGGCTAAGCAACTGTATTTAAATAAATATATTGGACAAAAGCTGAGCCGCTGGAAAATTGTTGTGCTGATGACACGACCTTACATAAGCCTGCAGCACCTGTGGATGAGGAACATATTAAATAGCATTTCAATCACAATCGGCGGGACCTCACATCAATAAGGCTCCTGCGAAACGCGAGCGAAAGTAAACGCTGATCCCTTCTTAGCCATAAGTCCTCCTCGCTATTTAAACCTTCGTGGTATTTTTAATTAAACACCGCGTGCAGCTCTCTCTCGCTCAGCCGAAAACGTCAAATCCTACAAATATGCTGGCATCTGCCTTGGATTCATGGCCGAATGTTAACGATCGCATTTCACACCCACGGCCCGGAACTGCATCTGCGTGGTGAAGCGCAGATGACGCCTTTCGCTCGCTCGCCCGCTCGCCCGCCAAAGTGTTATGGGCTGATGATGCGAGCGACATTACTGCGTTATCTTCCGGCTGAGTCGCCCTTGAAAAAGAGCTTCATACATCGATGGGATTTACTCAGTGGGAAATAATCTTCTGATTCTTATGACTGACTGTGCGTGGGGTTGGGTGGGTGGGTGGGGGGCGGCTATTGTCCTCCACTAACGGTCGTCGTTGATCTGACTGAGTTGGTCAGATGGATACAAAGTGAATAGAGACATTACCAAAAAAAAACTTACAATCAATAAAAAAATCACGTGAAAGGTTCTACGTCAAAAATAAATCACGTTACTGTCAGCCCACTTGTTACATCCACCTGCATGGCCATGGTTGGCCACGACGATGTTATTTATAAGCCAGCGCAAGTCACAGCTAATAAAAATAATTGTGCGTTTGCTATTCGTGCCATTCTTATAGTGCACAAGGCTATCACGAAGGAAGGCGCTGCTGCGTTGGACGCGTGCTGATGTTGCTATGTGTCATCCCAATTTAATCATTTGCCGGCAGTATCTGAAATTTGGAAAATTTGGATCATGACGCCGGCACACAATGACATACACGTTTCAAATGACGACAGGGGGATCTTTAACGTGCACTCTGAAGAGACGACGACACCTAGCATTGTATCGTTAATACACCCGCAGTGAAAACCAGGGCTGCCTGTCAGATTCGAACCGTGGACCTCTGCAACAAGTGGCGAATGCGCTCCCACTGGGTCACATGTCCCCACCCAGTCTGGCCTTTTACGGACGCCGCTGGGGCAACGAACTTGTGGCAGCAGCAGCAGCAGCAGTCCTCTACCGTTGGCTCTAATAATTTCCCTTCCGTTGCTGATGCTTCCATGTCATTCCTCTGCTCTCTTAGGGCCTCCACCTCCATCAGCCCATCTTTTTCCCAGCCACCCTCTGGTACCGCTGGTCTACACAGTAGGGGGCAGCACGTTCCCACTCGCCTTGCCGCAGGCAGTAATGTTTGTCACGTGACATTTTTTATTTTCTCATTGCTGGAATTTAGCAAAACGAAGCACAGGACCAAATTTAATGTGATGGGTTTTTTTGTGTGCAGTCATTGGTGAACGAGCTGAGGTCATCAATTCACTACACTCAATAACCCGGTTTTAATCTCAGGCCACTGCCTGCATTTGAACACCAGAATCTCAGCGCTGTGAGCTACATTGCCTTGCGTGGATTCCGCTCGTTGGTATGCTTCTGATATGACCGTACCATAGCTGCCTGTTCCACATTTATTTGGTTATTGTTCGTTCCACTTTCAAGTTCTTTCGAATGACTTCATCTCCTATTCTACCTAAACTTAGAAATATAATGGAATACACACACAGAGAGTCGGCTAACATAACAGTCAACACCCTAGTTTAACACGTAGGCTTTCGCGACCAATGTTATTCATAATCAACGATTTTGGGTTTAGATCGCGTTTATTTATAAATGTGTCGTAACCCTCCACCACCCGACACGGCCAATCAGTAAAAATGTGTCACGTTGACAAAGACAAATAGTTCACTGCTTTAGCCCACCGGTGTGTTGAAGCCAAATTGTAAATGTTGTGGCTTCAACACACCGGTGGGCTAAATCAGTGAACTATTTGTCTTTGTCAACGTGACACATTTTTACTGATTGGCCGTGTCGGGTGGTGGAGGGTTACGACACATTTATAAATAAACGCGATCTAAACCCAAAAACGTTGATTATGAGTCAACACCCTACCTGGTTGATTACGTTCTTCCAATGATTGCTACATTTAAGAGAGAGATAAAACACAGAACCGGAGACACATAGACAGACACGTAAGCAGAGAGAGATAACACAGAGACACACAGAGAGAGACACACAGAGTATCTGTGAGACCCACTGCTTATCTGCTTATCTGTGTTGTATTGCAAGAAATGTCTAAGTTTACTAGGTTTTTCTCTCTTTTATTTGTACCTGATGATGATTTGCTTGTGTTGCAATCTAAACGTCGTCTGCTATTATTAAATTCATTATTTTCTCTTTCTACGTCACTTTACCGAAAAAACCAAAAAGAGTCACTCCCATAGTTTATAATTCCCCGTGCCGGGGAGATGGAACCGAACCGCCGACCATCGGGGTTTGCAAGTCCGGTGCGCTGCTCACTATTGCCCCACGCACGAGTTAAGATGCGGAGAGCGTTCCTTCATCCACGGCGCTTCACTGAACATTGCCTACAGCTCGTCTTTTACATTTAATGACTGTTCTCTCCCTCTCAATTGGTTTTCTGCAACAAAGTGGATTTATTGGTTGTGCAGTCCGAATGTAAACACGTTTCATCATTGCCTTCTACATCATGCGGTGGTCGTTATCTTGCTCATATTGTTTATTAGTTCGTCAGTATTTTTTTTTTACGTGAAATGTTTTTTTTTTAATCTGATATCGCGCTTAATTTAAAGGTTTATTCATGGAATTTAACAGTTTTGTGATTCTTGGTCCGTGTCTTCACTGTGTACATGTGCAGTTGTAGCTTTAGTAACTCAAGTATCTCTTGATAAAGAGTCTCAATGGGCTCCCCATCTGGTTACAGATACGCCTGTCTGTCTTAAACACTCAGACGCACAGACAAATAGACACCCAGATGCACAAACACACAGATACACAGACACATATTCGCACACTCACAGATATATAAAGACGCAAATACACAGACACACAGATGCAAAAGAGACTCAGAGACATAGACACTCAGATGCACAAAACACAGATACACAGACACACACGTCCACGCAGACCCACAGATGCACAGAGACGCACTGACACACAGACCCACAGATGCATAGAAACTCAGACACATATACACGACGACGCAGAGACACACAGACGCAGAGACACAGTCTCCGGCAACAGTGTTGGGTGGATATCGGGCTGTGGGATGGCAGGATTGTGAGTGCCGCTCCTCTGCCATTCACCCCGCTCTGTCGACACTTGGCAACCCCCCGGGTGTGTCCACTGACGAGCCGCCGCTTAATTGATGCATCACAAGGAGGGCACTTGAATGCGGCACGCCTATGGCCAAATTGCCCGGAATGTGCCTGGTCTCGTCGGACTAAGCAGGGGTTGCTTGAGCCTGGGTCGCGCTCGGATGGGCGACCTGCGACATACGCATGGGCCAGTTTCTGGTCTGGCTGCGGGGCTACGTGGAGCGAAGCGGAGGGCGGTGCAGCAAAAGACAATACAGGTAGTCCTCGACTTACGATGGAGATGCGTTACGACGACCCCATCGTAAGTCAAAAATATCGTAAGTCGAAGATGGCCTCGCCTACCCAGGAGTCTTAAAGAATAGTGATAATTTATCAAAACAGAGCAATTTACAGTACCGTACTGTATAAACTATATACTGTATGTATTTATTAATTACAATACTGTGTTGCACAGTAAAATGTAAAGTAAAAAACAAGGTAAACGTTTAGCCTACCTATATGAACTGCAATTTAATAGAAAGTTTTTTCAGGAAACAATCCTATCTGCTATAAAAAAAACTTTTAACATGCATGAACGTATCGTATCGTGGTAACACCCTAAAATGAAATCGTTCGCTGCTGCGTTTGCCTGCCGCGCGAAATTTAAAATATTTTACAATTTTGTCATATCGCTATCGCCATCGTAAGATCGAAATATCGTAAGTCGGACCATCGTAACTCGGGGACTACCTGTATTGTACCCTAACTCTATCCCACAAGTGTTCTTCATTGCAATGTCTCGCAGGCCACTCGTAGCCCCTGGTGGCCTTTAGTGCGGTCACTGACGATCGACAAATGTGAGAACACCCTCTTTGCAGGCGGTGTGGCAGCCCTCATACCGAAGTCTTAGGGACGCCACGGTGGCGAGATGTGAACTACTTCGTTTGGTATACAGGAGGTCGTGGGTTTGATCCCCGATCCTGACACCTGTATATTTGGAATCAACACGAGTATTTGGCAGCTATAAATTTCCACGTGATAAGCCACTTCGTTGAGCTTTCATTTGTGGCCATGGCGTTTCTGAAAAAAGAGCTATATAGCTCAGTGGGCCTTACCTGGTAAAATAAAAAAATGTTGTAATTAGCAGTTATCGGCGAAAGTGCCTCCCCCCCCCCCTCTGAAAATGAGTGAATAACACTGCTCTATACTCTTTTTTCTTCACGGTTCCACCTGAAGACGGAAGCTTGTGTTGCCTCCAAAACGTGGTGATTTAATTTATTTTAATTTTTTACCTACGTGACTTTACCGAAAAAACCAGAGTATGAATCCTTGCAGTCACGAAAACTTCAAATCTCGAACACCGCTCTACACTAACCCCTACACCAATACTAACTCTGCACTCCCCATATCTATGCTGCCCACCTTCACCAACTTTCGCCAGCGAGTGTGGCGGATTATGGCCACGTAATCCCTACGACCAGCAGAGAGATAGTTTACAGATCGCTGGACATGTACAGCCCAGTACAGCCACCTTGGTGACACTGCTGCTGCCTTCTGAGTGGAGAACACCAGCCGTGTTGTTGCTGTGTGAGCGCACGTGGCCGTATTGGTGCCGTAAGGACCACACGTGCTTGCGTACTTTAGCTGTGCGTGGTCTGAGTGCGTACATGCGTGTGATTGTATTCGCATGTGTGCGTGCCTGCCTGCCTGCATGTACCGGTGTGTTATGGCGTGTGGGAATGTGTATGTTTAAGGCGAAACAGGGATCTTCCTCTGTGTACCCGTGCTGGTGTGGTTAAGCGTGTGTAAGTAGGTGTGAGTGTGTGTGCCTACCCATGCTGTTGTGGTCGGATGTGTGTACGTGTGTAAGTGTTTGAGTACTCATGCTGGTGTGGTAGGGCGTGTGTAGGTATGTGAGTGTGTGTGTGCCCGTGCTGATGTGGCAAGGGGCCGTCCATAAATGACGTCACGCGATTTTGGACGATTTTTGAACCCCCCCCCCCCCGTCGTCACACGCCGTCACAAAAAGTCAGACCCCCCCTCAAATATGACGTCACAAAGCTCTGCCCCCCCCCCCCAAAATACAACATGCTTCAAATCGCTTTAAACTATTGTCATTGTTGTGCGTATTTAATGTGGCGCTGCACTCTGATGTTGTAGGAGTAAACATTTATTAAAAAGTCTATTTAATTAAGTAGAACGTGTTGTCTACATTTATTTAAAGTTGCGCATTTTTATGTGACGTCACATTTCTCAAACACCCCCCTCCCCGCGTCACACATCGTCACAAATGTCTGACCCCCCCCCCCCCAGGTGCGTGACGTCATTTATGGACGGCCCTTAAGGCGTGTGTGTGTGTGAGTGTGTACGTACCCGTGCTGGTGTGGTAGGGCGTGTGTGCGTGTGTGTGAGTGTGTGCATGTGTGTGAGTGTGTGCGTACCCGTGCTGGTGTGGTAGGGCGTGTGTGCGTGTGTGTGAGTGTGTACGTACCCGTGCTGGTGTGGAAGGGCGTGTGCACACAGGGGATGTGCACCCACTCCCCTGACCCATCCCCCATGTCCCCGTCCTCACCATCTCCCTCCCCGGACGACCAGGCCCTGAGGCGGGCCTCACTCAGGGCAAACTGCTGTGCCACACCTGCACCGCAGGACCGCACAGCCAACCACACAGCACCGCACTGCGTTACATGGAACAAGGCCGTACACACTCCCCTCCACCCCCCCAATATTCAAATATGCTCAGAATGTCCCCCCCCCCCCCAATATATTGCTAGAAAATAGATATCTGTTTATATCATTGTGGTTATGGTTGTACTGTGTTAATCCCTAATCTCTGTCATTACATACAATGAAACAAGAAAAGGTAAAAAAGAAAAAAACAGCAATGTAATATAATATAATACACTATTAGACATTATTGTAAATATTTTATAAAAAGTCCATCCTGTGTGTTAGTTATTTTTTTTTATCTTAGGCAAGAAATTCGCTTTCATATTTAGATCTTTTTTTCTGGGGGGGGACCCCCAGAACCCCTGTAAGATTTGGTCCCCCCCAATGTTGACTCCATGGCTACGGCCTTGACAGGGAACCACACAGAGCCCTGCTGGTTCAACCACCATACTCCCTGTGTGTATATGTGTCTGTGTGTTACGTGGGGAGCGGTAGTGTACTGGTTAGCACACTGCGCTACAAACCCGGAGACCCGCGTTAAATTCGCGCTCACGGCCAATACCGGTTACTAATATCTGAACTGGTCCTGTGCCTCTTCAGGGTCGACTCAGCCTGAAATGGAATTCGGTGCAATATGTAAACAGCACTGGGGAGACAAAAGCGGTCAGGCATGGGGTTGGCCACCCACCTCTTTTGTGTGCCGTGCTGGCCTTAATAGGTGCTCGCTAACAGCACTTTCCCCAACAGTCTGTTAAGGCTACATGGGGGATCTGTGCTTTGTGTGCACGTTTGAGTGCGAGAGCATATTGAAGTCTGCGTGGGCAGCAGTGGCGCTGTGGTTACAGCACTGCGCGACGAACCCAGTGACCTCACTTTGATTCCTATCCATGCCCAACATCAGTGCTGAGTTATATGTGAAGCGGTCCTGGGCCTCGCCTAGGTCGACTGAGCCTTAAATGAATACCACGTGTGGTGCGTAAAGGTCACTCAGGCAGCCCGGGCATGGTGCTGGCCACACCAAGCACTCGTGTTGCCGTGTTGGCTTTCAGAGGTGCTCGCTAACAGCACTTGCCCCAACAGCCTACTCATGTCTATGTGGGGGATCTTTGTCTTTGTGTGTGTGTGTGTGTGCAGGGTGAGGTACCCTCAGCAAAGCGAGCCTCTCTCTCCCCATCGACCATGTCGGTGGTGTCGCAGTACGGGGCGTCTGTGTAAAGCGTCGACTCCTGTGCACACAACACACAAAGACAAAGATCCCCCGTGTAGCCTCAACAGACTGTGGGGGCAAGTGCTGTTAGCGAGTACTTATGAAGGCCGGTACGGCACACGAAGGGGTGGGTGGCCAGCACCAAGCCTTTGTCTCCCCAGTGGCAATGTTTTACACACCGCACCAGGTACTCATTTGAGGCTGAGTCAACCTCGGGGAGGCCCAGGACCAGTTCAGATAATCGTCACTGGTGTTGGCCATGAGCGGGAATCGAATTCAGGTCGCTGGGTTCATAGTGCAGTGCGCTAACCGCTAACCACGACACGACCGCTCCCCACAAAAAACACCCAATGCAGTGTCTCACACACACTGCATCTCCGCAGTGTCCGGTGGTAGGTATGTGTGTGTGTAGGTATGTGTGTGTATGTGTGTGGTGTATTTGGAAGCTGTTGTATGAAGAGCAGAAGGCGGCGGTGTATGCAGTAGAGGTGATATCTGTGAACGTGGTGATAGTGGTGGTCGGGTGTCCAGTGTGAGTGGTAGTGGTGGTGTATGTGGTGGTAGTGGTGTGTGTGGTCGTGTAACAGTGTAAGTGGTAGTGGTGTATGTGGTGGTAGTGGTATATGTGGTAGGGTAGCAGTGTAGATGGTAATAGTGCACGTGATATAATAGTGGTGTAGGTTATATGTGTGATTGTGGTGGTAGTGGTGCATGTGGTCAGGTAGTGGTGTAGGTGGTAGCGGTGTAGGTGGTAGTGGTGCACGTGGTCGGGTAGTGGTGTAGGTAGTAGCGATGTATGTGGTAGTGGTGTACATGGTCGTGTTAGTGGTAGGGTAGTGGTGTATGTGGTCGTGTAGCGGTGTAGGTGGTAGTAGTGTCGGCAGCAGTGGTGTAGGTGGTAGCGGTGTAGGTGGTAGTAGTGTAGGTAGCAGTGGTGTAGGTGGTAGCGGTGTAGGTGGTAGTAGTGTAGGTAGCAGTGGTGTAGATGGTAGCGGTGTAGGTAGCAGTGGTGTAGGTGGTAGCAGTGTAGGTAGCAGTGGTGTAGGTGGTAGTAGTGTAGGTAGCAGTGGTGTAGGTAGCAGTGGTGTAGGTGGTAGTAGTGTACGTAGCAGTGGTGTAGGTAGCAGTGGTGTAGGTGGTAGTAGTGTAGGTAGCAGTGGTGTAGGTGGTAGTAGTGTAGGTAGCAGTGGTGTAGGTGGTAGCGGTGTAGGTGGTAGTATTGTATGTAGCAGTGGTGTAGGTGGTAGCGGTGTAGGTAGCAGTGGTATAGGTGGTAGTAGTGTAGGTAGCAGTGGTGTAGGTGGTAGCGGTGTAGGTGGTAGTAGTGTATGTAGCAGTGGTGTAGGTGGTAGCGGTGTAGGTAGCAGTGGTATAGGTGGTAGTAGTGTATGTAGCAGTGGTGTAGGTGGTAGCGGTGTAGGTAGCAGTGGTATAGGTGGTAGTAGTGTAGGTAGCAGTGGTGTAGGTGGTAGCGGCGTAGGTGCTGGAGGGCCCACGTGGTAGGACTGGACGTGGCCGTGGTCCCAGTCGTTCCACTCGATGAGGTGAGCCACCCGGCCCCGCGCCATGGGCTTGGTGACACGTGCACGCACGCTCTCCGACAGACCTACCCGCGCACCGCCACAACACAAACAGACCTGCTGTACATAGACGTGCGTACATATTAGTTCCATCATCATCATCATCACCATTAGCCATGGTCAATCCACTGCTGGATGAAGGCCTCCCCCCAAGCCAATACCACCGATGGTTCTGCAATGCAACATTACACCGAGCAAAGGGGTCGGCATGCGGCTCCTTAAGGTCTGCTTCATGAGGATATTCACTTGCATTGCGGCTCTTGAAATAGAGTTTTTTATCTTAATCGAATTATTGTTATTTTGGTTGTCGACCCCTGACCTTGCACCAGCACACAAATTCATTCTATCGCTCCGTCTCCCCCGGCTGACGACCCTCCGATACACGCCTTCCATTCTTTGGCTGCAACTCCGTGATTATGCTTATCCACCGGCCATCTTTCCCTTCTGGCGATGTTTCCTGCCCAAGCCCACTTACTTTTCTTCAGAGTTTGGACCATGTTAAATAAATTGCGTACCTTCTCTAATGCAATGGCAGTCATGTGCGGGTCTCCCTGTGCTTCTTTGCCTACCTTTCAGTATTTGTTTTGTATTTTTCGTTGATGACTGCAGCGCTTCTTATTCCAAATGTCATAGCAGGAGGTACCCACCCATTGAAAGCGTTCTTCTCAAGCAGCAGTGCCCGCGTGACTTTTCATTGTCAAGCTCAGTTTTACCCAAAAAGCACTTCAGCCTTGCCCTTCACCGCCTCTTCATCTCATCGGTGTGATCCCGTGCGTCGTCAGTAGCCGCCCCACGCTCACGAGCTCTCGTGTGTTTTCCAGTTGTGCCTCTCCGACAGATGTCTCCGGTTGTTTAGCGATTTGGTTGAGCATGAACTTTAGTGTTCTCGATCGGAATTATCCTGAGGCCAACTTTGCAGCCAGCCGTCTTTATTCAGTTATTCCAACATTTCCTGCAGTTCACTGCCAGTGGACACGTTAAGGGTAATGTCATCATCGTGCAGATTAGTTTAATCATTAACAGCTTTTGTAAAGCCACTACCAAACGAAGGTCTCCCAAAACCTTGTCAGTCATGAGGGGTTGTTTGACCATACTTCACCACGGTCGTCAGTGTGGAATGGTGAAGTGAAAAATAATAATATTTTGGAGGGGAGGGGAGATTTGTGACCGGGCTGAGGCCACCAATCAGAAAAAAACTCAACACATGTCCGTAAAAAAACACTGCTTTAAAAGAGGAAAATTACATATAATAGATAACAATTCAGGAAATGACCCTTCTATATGACAAATAAAATGGTAGTATCACTAAATAATTTGTTTAGTATACTCACAGTTATATGCCAATTCAACCCACGGTCTCAGCAGTGTTGGCTCAGCATTTCTAACCCAGAATAAGCCTCCAGGACACCACTCATAATGCTTTTACTGAAGCCCCCATCATCCAAAGCACCCCACCATTCCTCTGCCGGTGGCAGTGGGCGATCGTAAACCACATGGACACCTCCCATGGGCGATGTGCATCGCATCTGATGCACGAGCGGCGAACTTCACGCAATGAAATTCGCCGTCAACAGTCGCCCCTAACAATCGGTTTGGCCGACAGGACGACAAGAAGTCAATACGCATCCGACGATGCTCTTGAATGGATATCAGGGCCCGATCTGCCCTCGTAAATGTTGCCATTCACATTCGACAGAAGACAACTAATCAGAGTGCGAGAATAAAGCGGCATTTTTTGGTTCTTTTGGTAAAGCCGTCCTCAGGTGAAGAACAGGTCTGTCAGACGCTGTCTTTCTGACAGACCTGTTCTTCACCTGAGGACGGCTGCTTGCGTGATGGCCGAAACGTCGTGAGAATTATTTTATTATGTTTTATCTATATTATTTTATTATTTCCATTCTACGTGACTTTACCGAAAGAACCAAGAAGATGAATCCCTGCAGTCACGAAAGCTTTAAATCGAAATTTAAAGCGGCATTGACAACAGGAAGGAGGCCAGTGGGAGGGCAGGGGAAAGAGAGGCAGACATACATTGAGATGGCAGGAAGAGGCAATCGAAGATTTGGAAGAGCGTGCTAGATGTAGGTGCCAAGAGACTGTGAAGAGCTAGATATATTAGCAGAGGACTTGCCCGGCAGTGGGGTGTTCATGGACAAGATAGGGAGAAGAGAGAGAGAGAGAGATATCGTAATGAAAAATAATGGATGTATGTTGAACTTCTTTCGCACTGTACATAGCCAATCTTGACTTGAAGCTTTCGTGACTGCAGGAATCCATACTCTTTGGTTCTTTCGGTAAAGTCACGTGGGTAGAAAAATTAAATAAATCACGACGTTTCGGGTGACAAGCGTCTGTCATCAGGTGGGAAAGCATGGCCTGCTGCTGATGCAGACTGTTTAAAAGAGCTGATGACGGACGCTTGTGTTGCGCCCGAAACGTCGTGATTTATTTTATTTTATTTTTAATACCTACGTGACTTTACCGAAAGAACCAATGTACATAGCCAGTACTGCACATGTGGTATTCACGCCATCCCTCACTTGCCAGCAGCTATAATGGTGCAAGCTATCACCCAGGGAAGGCGCTGCTATGTTTCACAAACAGCCTGCAGTAGTTGCACAGCAGGGGGCGATGTTGCCATCCGTAATCCCAATCGATGAACGAATTCACATCCACGGGCAAGCGGACGTCCCGCACAGTTTTTGCGCTCAACGGCGCTGTCAGCGTTAACCGGGGCAACCACCACTGCCCTCACCTGTGATGGACGACCTGGCCAACGCTGTTATCCCGGTAAGAGTTCGTGACCTCCGAACCCTGGGCAGGATCTGCGTGGTGTCCTCAACGGAAGCCTGAGAAACGTGTGCGCACACAAATGCAAAGATTTCCCACCCCCCCCCCCTCGTTTAGCCGACACGGGACAAGAGGGGCTGGGTGGCCAGCATCACGCCCGGCCGCCTTTGTCTCCCAAGCAGCGATATTTACACATCACACCAGTTACTCATTTGAGGCCCAGGATTGAGCGGGAATCAAACTCGGGTCGCTGGGTTTGTAGCTAACACATGAACACACATGGACACAGGAGTGATAGTACAAACACATAGGCAGGATATTGTACATAAGTGGAATGTTGTTTGGTGTCCAATCCACTTCCTATTCTGTTTGCTGTTTAAAATTGAACATCTGGTCCGCTGGTCTTTTTTGCTGTGCTTACAGCCTTGCCACCTGAGCTGCTTTGTACAGGTCTGCTTGCTATGTCCATCTTGTATGCTGTACATGTACTTTGCTGTAGTGCGTGTGCGTGTGTGTACAGCCCATTGTCTGGTCTATTATGTTTACAATTGGCCGTTTGATCTGCTGTGTGTACACTGTCAAGTCTGCTCTCTGTGTATATATGCATCGTGCTCTCTGGAGCTTTGGTGACTGACGATATTGTACTGATGAGTCCCAATATGAACGAAACCGTTCGACAGTTGTTGTCTATATCTGTCTCACTGCTGCCTCTCGGTTGGTCACATTCGTTCTAGATTTTAAGTTTTCGTGGCTGCAAGGATTCATACTCTTTGCTTTTTTCGGTAAAGTCACGTAGGAAAAAGAAAGTAAAAAAAATATGAAAAAACAACTAAATTAAATCACGACGTTTCAGAGGCAACACAAGCTTCAGGTGTAATGGTTCCACCTGAAGACGGAAGCTTGTGTTGCCTCCGAAACGTCGTGATTTAATTGAGTTGTTTTTTCATTTATTATTTTTTTTCCCTACGTGACTTTACCGAAACAACCAAAGCATGTGGTCACATTCGGTCCAATTTATTTTGACGGCGACATAAACCAAGAGGAGTTTGCCCTTCGGGAACCGCTGATGGTTTTTTGGACAACACACAAGGGCCCACAGTGCATTTTGCGTGCATTACCCTGTGCGTTATTGAAAACTTGCGGTGTTTCGGCCTGCACAATTTGTTTCTGTTACGATCATAGCGATGGCGATTAGATGGCGGGTCTTCTAACCCCACCGTTTACACATTTTGCATTGAGCTCTGCGTTGCACGGCTCTAAGATCCGCTCGCTTGCCCGTCTCTCATGCGAGCGCCACTGTGTGCAGGCTGCTTGTCCGAACTGTCTGGTGGTAACATCCACCGCTGGGGCGCCACGGTGTCGGGATGTTAAATACCTCGCCTGGTATACAGGTGGTCGTGGGTTCGATCACAACTGTGACACCTGCTGAATATTTTGAATTTTGGTTGTATCTCTCTCCCCGTGGTCACGTGGATCTTTCTCTGCGGGTCCTCCGGTTTCTCCCACCGCATTTAGACTCTACACGCGTTTAGAGTATTTCGCTGATATAAATTTCCACACGACGATAAGCCACTTCGTTGGATTATCCTTTGTGGCCAGGTCGTTTTTGCAAAAATAATAAAGAACAGCTATACAGCTCAGTGGGCCTTTCCTGAAACAAAAAAGTCTACAGCTGATAAGCAGCGTGCAGCCAGGAGGCAGCTCGAGTGAAACTCGCTTCGCGGATGCATAAAAAACACAGCCCGGCGTCGTGCAGCGGGCACCTCGCTGGTGTTGCCCGAGAGGGCGGGAGCGCTCGGCCCGCTCGCCTCCGAGCTGCAGCTCCCCAGGTCCCCTCTCGCCAGGCCTCCCTGCACCCCCGTGCTCCCAGGGACGCTGACGCTGCTCCCTCCGCCGCTCCCTGGCCCATTGCTCTTGTGGGGCCACTCGCGCAGGACCTCTGCCTTCACTGCTCAGAGGCGACAAAAGAGAAACCGCAAAGCCTCAAAGATCGTACCGTACCCGCCGCTCCCACACATGCACACGTCGTCTCGCTTGAACAGACTGCTGGGGGCAAGTGCCGCTTGGTGAGCACTTACTGAAGGTCGATTAGCACGGTTAGTTATGTATGGCGCCAAAGAAGTTCAACGTACACACGTGCAACGGCGCACGTGCGCTGGGGTGGTGTGGCCAGCGCAATGCACGGCCAACTTTGTCTGCACAAATGCTGATGTTTACACGCCGCACCCAGGTACACGTTTTAAGGCTGCGTCGACATGGGAGATATCACTGGTCAACACACTTTTTCTGGCATAAGGTATTCCAACGGGTTTAAGGTAATTTTGGGGTGCTGATTCCAAATCTGGCATCAGTTTTTGTCTACCACATCAGGTTTTTGAGATATCAAATATTGCATTTTCAATAAAAACTGCAGAAGAAAAATATTAAATAAATGTGGATATCTACATAAAATGATATTATAAACACATTATCCTAAAAATACAGCACCATATTTTAACACTAAAGCAGTCACTGACTCGCAACAACTTGCAATCATAAGTGACAGAGTTAATTTCGGGTGAAATCAATGAAAATGGGGTATGCCGATAGCATAAAATGAGATGTGATTGCGCAAATCTGATTTGGAATCAGCACCCTGAAATTAGTCTAAAACAGCTGAAAAAGTCCAGGCCAGAAATTTTTTTTTTGTTGACCAGTGTAGTCGCCATTGATGTTGAACTCCATTCACCGGGTTTGTATCGCAGCACGCTAGCCACTGAATTACCGCTCCCTACTGTATGTATGTTCAACTTCTTTCGCACCGTATGTAGCCAGCCGTACTATTCGGAGGTGCGGGGGAAGGACAACAAACTAAACACAAAAAGCATTTCTAAAAAGTGAGTCTTCAATGTAGCTCCAGTGGCTTCTCAATATCGGAAGGAAGAGCGTTCCAGACGGCCGCAGAAGCGCATCTTATAGCAAGCAATGCAGTGACAGAATACCATCTCTCAGAATTGCAAGAAAATACTGTATCGGTTTTGATTGCCTACGAAAGGAACATTCATCTGCAGCATGGCATGTAGGAAAGTGAATGCCCTAAAGTTTGGATGAGTAACGGTCACAATGAAGCGAACCAAACCAAAGTGCACCAGGGTTGCGAGCTCGTCATCGATCAGCCGAGTCACTAATTGGTCCACGCGCCAGACCAGAAATCGGTACAACCTCAAGTAGCAAGAAACTTGGGTTCCACAGTACCGATTTATTTACACGGTCAACGACAAGCGGATCACTCGATAACCCCACTTATTTCAAGTGGTTATCGCGTACATTCATTCAGCGTTACTGCCCTCACAAAGAAACTGGAACCACGACGCGTAAATGGCCCACCTCGTGTGGCGCCGACAGGTGAGATACCTCGTCTAGGCTCGTGGATTTAAATAACCGTACAACTCGCTCACATTTAGCCTTGTCGCCCTGCTTGGCCAATTACAACGCTGAGCATTAAACACACCGCCAGGCGTGTGCACGTGTGTGCCAGGGGCCCGTTGAAGCGAAACGACGGCCGTTCTCTGGCTCGGCGTGGTGCACCGAGTTATCAATGGAAATGCCTCACGACATGAAGCCGATAGCGCAATTGGAATATGCGGGGAACAGAAACAGACGGCTTGAGTAAGAGACCCGCAGGGGACGAGGGCGATGCCAGCGAATGCCAAGTAAGGGCAAATGAGGCCCATGGGTTGGGTGGTGGTGTCAGTTCTACGCACAAAGACAAAGATCCCTGGATAGCCTTCTCAGGCTGTTGGGGCAAGTGCTGTTGGCGAGCACCTATGACGGACGGAATGACAGGGGTGGGTGGCCAGCACCATACCCGGCCGCCTTTGTCTCCGCAGTACTCATTATTTACAGGTTGCACCAGGAACTTAAGGCTCAATCCATCTGCGTAAGTGCCAGAACCGGTGCAGATGTAGTGGCGGTACGCGCTGACAAGGGGGGCGCGTGTGTGAGTGCGCCGGGTGTGGCTACGTCGCGTGGTATAGTGGTGACGCGCGCTGACAGTGATGGATCACGTGGCAGCGCGTGGTGCGTGGTTGTGTGCGCTGACACAAGATGGGAAAAAGGATCGTGGGGCAACGCGTGGTGATTGGTCAACTGGGGTGGGTGCTCTCAGCGACGTCCGCATGGGCTCCGCCTCCCCGGGAGCGGAGGACTATAAAGGGGGACGCGCGGGAGCACTCGAGGAGTGGTTAACCAGTGAAGATCGAAGACGGAGTTGGAGAGATAGGGCCCTGAGACCCCTAGTCCCGCTGTCCTTGTAAGGGCCGGGGCCCTGTGCGGCTCAGAGGCGAGACTGTGGGACCCGCGGTCTGACGTCCATGTGGGGCGAGGCTGTGGGACCCAGGGGTCGAGACTCATACCCCAGCCGGGGTGGGTTCCCGAGAAGCTACTGGGGCGGAAGAGCCCGTGGGTGTGTAGCCGGGGGAACCGCGCAGCTTAGGCTACAGTTGGCCATACGTGTAAATAAGTTTGGTGTTAATAAAAGTGTGCTACCCGTTAAGTCGTCTCCCGCCAAGTTACTACATTACACAGATATTCACCACGAACATCGTCCATGAGCGGGAATCGAACTCGGGTTCCCTCGCGGGTTCATAGCTCAGCACGCCAACCACCGCGCCGCCGCTCCCCGAGAGAGACCAAAGACAAAGATCCCCCGTGTAGCCTTAAGAGACTGTTGGGGCAAGTGCTGTTAGCGATAAGCACCTACGACGGCCAGAACGGCACATATGGGAGGGGGGGGGGGGGTGAGTCGGCGGTCAGCACCATGCCCATCTGCTTTAGTCTTCCTCGTGCCAATGTTTACACAGCACACCGGGTACTCAATTGAAGCCAAGCTGACCTAGGGGCGGAGGCCAAGGACCGCTTCGGATAATCGTCACTGTTTGTTGGTGGCCGTGAGCGGGGATCGAAGTCGGGGGTGGGGTTCATAGCGCAGCGCGCTAACCACCAGCGCCACCGCTCCCCGAGAGAGACGGCACTCTCATTACGACTCTCCCGCTCTCTCAAGGGCAACGCGTTGACGCTCGCGGTCCGCTCCATCGATGGGAGCGAGAGCGAGTGGGAGAGAAGCTTCGATCGCTGCTAATTGCGCGGCAGCATCGCCCTTGCCTCGTCCAAGGCGCGGGCGTTATTTTTAGACCAAGCTCCAGCAGCAAACCAGCAGCCAGCGGCAGTCCCATCGGGTGGTGGTGGCGGTGGCGGTGGCGAAAGGAAAAAAAAATAAGAAGCGGCCCTTCCTCTGCCCGCGGAGGGCCATTGCCCTCGTGAGACGTAAATTTGCCGGGCGGCAAAACCGGCCATTAATCGCCGCAAGTGTCCCGGCTCGGAAATTTACAATGACGTCAACAACAACAACAACACCACCACCGCTACCAACAAAACCTCACAGAACTGTCATGCATGTCGCGAGGTGACGGTGATGGCGAGGGTTGTATAAGGACGCGTAATTGAGCTGTGCGTAACCTCTTTTCGGAGTCAGCGAATTAATCAAAGTCCCGCCGGATCAAAGGTTCGGAGGGGCGATGATCATGTTGGGGCAATGGCCAAACGTGTCGGAGAGTTCTTGATATGAAGCTTTCGTGACTTCATTAATCCAGGAATCCATATTCTTTGGTTCTTTCGGTGAAGTCACGTGGGTAGAAAAAATAATAGATCACGAAAGTTTCGATCGCAATAACAAGCGACCGTCTTCACCTGAAGACGAACAAACCCGAGAGTACGTGTCGGAGAGTGTTACAAGCGCGAGGCCACGGTGACAGGATGCTTGTCGGAGTGCTGTACCATACCGAGCCAAGTCCTGGGTGTCTATCAATGGGCTAATGCCTGCGGTGTTATAACACTGATCCTGTGCATCTGAGTGGTCCAGCGATTCCAACCAGAGGTCGCAAACGGGTTTTGATTCCTTACCCGTACCCGTACCCGGCCGCACCAGGGTCGCAAATGGGTACCCGTACTCGTACCCGGCCGGGTATGGGTACCCGTTCCCTACCCGTACCCGTACCCTACCCGAAATGAGTGACAAACGGTTACTCACCAGTGACTCACGGCCTACCCGTACCCGTACCCGGCCGTACAAGGGTTGCAAACCCGGCTGGATACGGGTAGCCGGGTATCGGGTAGGGTACGGGTATCGGGTACCCGGTTGCGACCTCTGGTTCCAACCCAGGAGGTAAGGGCGTCTGTCCATTTCAACGGGGCTGATGTCCATGCCATAGCCAGTGGCACTGAGGGTGTGTGTTCGAGCACTGGACCTGGGTGTCTCTCTCCCTCCCCGCATGCAATTACATCTTGGTGTGTTTAGCAACTGAATTTAAATTATGCTGTTGGTGTCATTGCATGGGACCACGATGCACATCAATTTCGCAACGAGCGGGGCACCACTTTTGTGGAGAACGCCCCCCGCAAAATGGCATCACAAAACTACAGCAGTCATTCGACAGCCACGTCAAGACGCCTCATCTCCGTCTGTTTCCATCCGCACGTTTGTAGAATGCTTACCGCACGCGCGAGGCCGTGGGTTTTCTCCGGGTGCTCCGGTTTCCTCCCACGTGTCTAATAAAGTCAGCTCGTCATTAATTGGCTGAAAACATCTTAAGATAAAAAACCCAATGTAGCAGCGGTAGCAAGGCCCTCCTTAAAAATAATTATACGACTGCGTGGCTCTCCTGGATAAATACGTTTAACAAAAATTATCCACACAAGGGGCACACCTTTACATGCTCTTAAGGGAGTGTTCGTCGCATGCCTATCAATCTGAATATTTTGTAATTCTCAGAGCTGGGACTAACGACATGTAGTGAAAAAAAACGAAGTTATTTTTAAGACCATGTTTAACACGTGCATTTAAATGCTGCTGACACGAGAAGACCTTGAGGCCTTCATCGGATGTACAATCCATTCTATGCAATTTTACGT